AGGTGTTACGAAAGACAGTGTGACATGATTGTTGGTTCTTGGGGAGTTAAAAACTTGCCTGGCTCTACCACTCAGAGACTTACTTACTAATTTTAATTTTATGTCTTTTCTTATTTATCTTTACAGATGGAAGGGTCTTGAGAAAACAAACTTAGGTAATTTCCTAATTCCTCCCCTGGTTATAATGAAAAGTCTTGGCCCATCATCTTCTCATTTAATTTTTTCTGTGGTGATTTTGCTTACCCTGCACTGAAGTTGATGTCCCGCTTTTTCTTTGGTGCGGCTCCCCGGTAGCTTCCTACCAGTGGTGTGCTGGAAAGAGCTTGGTGCTGACAGCCTTCCCTCAATGGCTGGGCTTGTCCCACCGCTGGGCCACCAGAGGTGAGCGGGGCTGGCCTCTCTAGCCCTCCGGCACAGCGCAGCTCCCGCCTCAACAGTCTCTGGGAAGACTTCGTGGTCCTCGGGGGTTTTGAAGCTTTTGTTTTAAGTTTCCTTCTCAAGGTCGCTAATTTTAAATGTAGCAAGAGTAGTCTCAGTGTTCTGTTTCTGTATCTGTCCTCTCTGAGAAGAGGCCTCTTTGTTTGCCTTGTTTCTTTCCTGTCCTGTCCGTTGGCTGGTTTTCTGGCCCGCAGAACTGCCCTACATGGTGGCAGCTTAGGGCAGATCCCACCCCACATTCCTCTTTTTCACAAAGTACGAGCAGAAAATTGCTACATGAGCAGAGAGCTGTGCAGCAGGATCCACGTTAAAGACTGGTTCCATGTGAACAGAACTGAATGTTACCAAATAAAACTCATGCCAGGTTAACCTGATGCTTATTTAATGACATGTCTCATACTAATCAGTCCCAGGCACAGCGTCTTCCCGGAAGTGCCCTCCTTCTCTTTTCCTCTTTCCCTCCATCCCGCCCTACTTCTGTTCCTGCTCTCCCGAGGGCTCCTGTCTAGTCTCCACTCTAAAATCTGTGTGACAGTCTTCCTTGAAAGACCATAGCCCAGCGGGTCCCTATTTGACTTTTGCTGTTGTTTCATATTCCTTGTCCATTTTCTTATATAGTAGTTTTTATTTTTAAATAAACTTGGATTTATGAAAGAGCACAGATAGTTAACACATCCTCTTCACCCAGCTTCCCCTAATGTTAGTATCTGGTAACCTTGATGCATTTAGCTAGACTAAGAAATTAACAGTACCATTAACTAAGCTGCAGGTTTTATTCACGTCTCCCCAGTGTTTCCGCTCATGGCCATTATCTGTTTTAGGGTCCCAGCCAGGGCACCTCCATACCATGTCTCCTTAGTCTCTTCCCCTGTGACACGACTCCAGCTTTGCTGATGGACCCGGCATCCTTTTGTCCTCCCTCCCTCCCCCTCTTTCACTCCCCTCCTTCCCCTGCCTTTTTTTTTTTCTTTCTTTCTCTCTTTCTTTACTTTCTGGCATTCTGGAAGTGTCAGAAGCCCCAGACTCATCATGTTTTTCCCCTACCCCACCCCTGGAATCACACATTTCTCCAGGGAGTCCTGGTTCCTTTTATTGAAGAATGGTTTGTAGAGACCAAGATCCGAGCACTGAATGTGCTTTGTTCCTGGAGAGTCACTGCATTCAGGTCTTCTCAGGAGATGGTGGAAAGTACGCACGTGTGTACTAACCCTTGTGCATGCACACATATGTCTCCCTTTGTTTCTTTCTCTCCACCTTTGTGTATATGCCTGAGTTCATCTCAGATCCTGATCTAGCCCCACAGAGTTCATTCACAGGTTTGTGCTTCATTTTGCTTTTTTAAGATGGAGAACGGGGGCCAGAGGAGTTAGACCTGGATTTCCAGCTTCACCTTCTACTAGGGGCTGCTGCCCATCAGTGAGAAAGGAGTCTCTTGACTTGACTGTCACAGATGCGTTCCAGGGGAAGGTTGTGGTTCCTCAGCTCTGCTGAGTGGGCCTCCCGAGCTCTCTGAGAGCACCATTCATCGTAGATTAAAAGTACTCATCCTCTGACAGGAAGTGCTGCCGACATGCTTTTTCCAAGCCCTGGTTCACAGTCCGAAGAGTTGTCACTTAGGTAACCATCTCTAGCACAGAGGTTAGCAAACTTTTTCTGTGAACTACCCGGACAATAACTGTTTCAGACTTTGCCCGCCATCAGGTCTCTTGTTGCAGGTACTTAGCTCAGCCTTTGTCCCGTGGAAGTGGTCACAGACAGGACATGAGTGAATGGGCTTGGCTACGTTTCAGTAAATTTTTATTTACAAACACCAGGGGCTGCATCTGGCTTGGCCAACCCTGGGACCCATTAAATGTGTTCTCCTCCTTTTATGTTTGTCTCATTCTCGGTGTACTTGTGGACTTGATCCGTTACATTTGTGTCTTGGGGAAGAGAGTTGGGTTGGTGGAGAAGTGCTGGCTCTGAGTGCGTGCATCCTAAATCCTCCTGGCTGATAGCACTGGTGTGGCTGCGATGTCCTGTCCCAAAAGCCCTCCATCTTTCTTTCCATGATTACCCCTGCTCCCTTTCTCAGGAACCTCAAATCCTTTGGTATGGCTTTTTTTTTTTAAGTAAACTTTTTTTGAGTATAATACACAGAAGAAATATGTATGAATCATAAGTGCTAGCTGGGTGCATTTCTGTAGCATTGTTTTGAGAGTCTTTGGATGAATCGGCTAGTTAAGGACAGGAGCACAGCATGAAGTGATGTAGGTTTACTTAGTGAGACAGTAGTTTTGGTATAAAGAAGTCAGTGTTGCAAGAGTGTGTCCTCAAACTACCTGAAGTGGGAATGATTCATTTAGTTAGTCCTGTTCCCCCATCCCACTTCAAGTTAAGGGCCCTCTTAAAACTGGTAGCTAGGATTTTCTGATGGGGAGAAGAGGGTTGAGTATTCGGTAGCCTGCTTCTGATATGGCAGTTGGTAAACATTGTGTCCAGAGAGTTACAGAAGATTTAAATTTTATGTATTTGAATTATTTGATGAGTTTCGATGTATATTTTTGTCATTTAAAATATTTTATTGTTATAATCCAGTTAAGCCTAGTACTTTGAGTCTTTAATTCAGTTTTGTTACCTGCTGCATCTCAATAAAGTTTATTTAATTCTAGGTAAGTATAGAGAAACAAGTATTAGATTTGAAATCAGAACACTTACTTGTAAGTTCCAAATGTACTTTTCACTGTATTTAAGACCTTAGGAAAGTGACCGAACCTTTTTGGGTCCAAGTCCCTTACCTGCCTTTCTTAGCTTATGGGTTTTTGTTGAAATAATCAGCTAGGAAAACATTGACACACTCTCCCTGGTAGCCTTTACAGCTCTCTGTGCATGTGGTGGGCAAGCAGGAGCGACTCTGTGACATTTTTCTGACTTCACATAAGTTTACCACCTGGCACTGACCTTCTGACTCTCCTGGCTGTTTGGCCACATTAAATGACTGGTTTCTGTCTGTCTGGTCCAGCTTCTGCTCAGCTGGCAGTGGTGGTCTGGCGAACCAGGAGCAGTGAAGTGATTGCGACCCTCAGGTGGTGAGCACTCATGTAGTAGCAGGCACCTGCCACATGCTGAGCGTCACTAGAAAGTCAGCTGAGGAGAAATCTGTCCATCTTCCACGCTCATGGAGTGTGTGAGATGGGCACGGATTTAAGATGTTACATAGTGTACATAAGTGCAGCTGTGATAAATGCCAGGAATTACAGGTAAATGATACTGTGATTGAGGGAGTTCATTTCTGGGCACAGAGGGTTTGTTTTGTTTTGTTTTGTTTTGTTTTGTTTTAAGGCATTCCTGAGAAAGTGATTAGGCCAAGGGAGAAGGAAGGAATATTCCAGGCAATGGCGCAACATGTGCAGAGACCCCATGAGTGGAAGCAGTTGGGCCCCTGAGAGGGGTTAAAAGGCCCCTGTGGCTGGAGAATGAGGGTGGGAGCACAGTGGTGGAGGTGCCAGGCCTGGTGGCCACATGAAGGACGCTTGTCTTCAGAGGGGAAAGAGACTCCGTTGCTTTGAGCCGAGAATTTGAATTTCATCCCCAAGTAGGTGTTTGGTTAGGATTCTTAAGACTAGTCTTGTGCATTTGTAAGAACTTTGAATAAAAGTTATTTTTGCAATTCAAATTTATCATAACGTTTTAGTTAAGAGAGGGGATTATATTGAGACTCTAGTTCCATCTACAGATTGGTGGGTGTTGGGGGCTTGTCAGCAAACAGGTTCTGTCCGTCACTGTGGAAGGTTCCTGTACTGAGAGAAATAGGTAGGGTAGATCAGAACGCTGACTTTTCTACCATTGCCCCTGGAGACTGATTGCTTACAAATGTCCCTGGGTCTGGTTGCATTTTAGTACTTGAAGTTAAGGATTAATGATGACTGAGCTTTAAATCAGTTATAGAAAATTATTCTTTTTAAAGAACATGGTAACTTTTGTTTTGGTTTCTTATATTTATTTCTTTAATCTTTCCTTTTAACTCTAAAACTATTTTAAAGTTTTATTGCCAACTAAGTTATAATTTGAGTACAGAGGGAAATTCAGTTTGGCTTTATGGAATCTATTTTTAAATAAATAAATTTCATTAGTAATTGTGAGATTAACCCTGAACTGTTTCTCATCCCTTACAAAAGGAATCGAAGACATTGGTTTGGGAAATCAAGTCTCATGTTAATAAAATACAAACAGTCCGTCAAGTAGAAACTCGACGATGGTGTTTATTTCTTCTCTGGATTTCCTTTCGGTAAATACATAACAAGAGGCAGCAGAGCATAGTAGTAAGGCGTACAGGCCCCTGTTCAGCCCCTCTGGTTGAACCATCTCATCTTCAAGCTTCGTGCTTCTGTTTCTGTATCTCACAAACGAGCGAGTGCCTCACTGGGGCTGTTACTCTTGTGAGGACAAAGGCGCTCCTGGACCTGGGGGCCTTCAGTGTTTATTCTTATCACCATGAAACCTTCCTTCTAGGTCACACAGTGACTGTTGGCCTTTTGTGGTGTGGTTGTAGCTCACACAGTGATATGTTTCTTTTTGTAAAGGAGAAATCGTCGTAAATGAAGTCAATTTTGTGAGAAAATGCATTGCCTCGGACACAAGTCAGTACGATTTGTGGGGGAAACTGATATGCAGTAACTTCAAAATTTCCTTTATTACAGATGACCCAATGCCACTGCAGGTATGTTTTATATGTATGCTGCTTAATTGAATCAAGGCTCTTGACTTTAATCAGTATATATTATTCCATAAAGCATAGATACGGAAACATTACAATAAAATTATTAATCAGTGATTAATATAAAGTTGGAATGTGTTATAGTAAAATTCAAAATGAAGCTCAAGGAGAATGATGAGACTTGAGCACAATTAGTGAGATAGTTTTAAGTCACCTTGCTTTGTTTATCCTCTGTGATCTTTGCTTATATATCCTTTTCAATAAGACTTCTTATTTCCTTTCTTCTAAATCTTTTAACCTACTCATCAAAAAAAAGATACCCTTTGTACTAGTCATAAAGAGAAGTACTTAATTATATAGCAAATAATCTCATAAATGCTGCACATTTTACATTTTATAGTATTTTTAACTAGTATTTTTCAAAAAAGTCAAATTCTCATTTCAAATTTCTAGTACAGTTAGAATGAAGAAAAATATTGATAAAGGTTTTCTTTAATAACTCTTGCTATCTTATATTCTTACTGGAAAACAACAGATCCATATAACTTTGGTTTTTTAAAAGTTCAATCATTCGTTTCACTAACTTAAAAATCCTGGACTTTCCCTCAACTTATTTTTCATTTCAATTTGTAAAGTGTTACACACTTTTACCCCCTAGACCTTTATTTATGGTGGTAATTGTTTTCTAATTAAGTATTTGGATATTAATTCTAAACTTTTGCTTCAAGTGTCTAATTGTGGATACGTGTATTTCAGTCCAGTGCCATCTCCTGTAGTTGTATTTAGACTAAATTTAAGGCATTTGCAGATACCTGGTATGTAGTGACACCAGCTTATTCGACTGTGGACTCGGGGTTTTCCTTTTGTTTTTAGCTTCATTTTGATCTTTGGCCCCAGATTTCACTGTAAATGAGACACATACACCTGGAATAGCTTAAGTCCAATACCACTAGTAGGAAAAATTAACCAGTGCCCTACCAACAGAAGGCTGATAGCATCAACTGTGTTGTCCTTAGTGTGAAAATGTGTATAAAAAATGGATTTAAAAAATAAGCTGTAGTTTGCCTCAAGATTTTTATTTCTAGTAGACTTTCTGCTCTAAAGAGTTATTTTCTGCTCTAAAATCTCCAGTGTAAAAATTGAGCCATGATTTTACCCATTAAAATCTGATGACTTAGGAGCCCCATTTTCTTTATTATTTTAATGACAGTTTAACCAGAACTAGAAATGCAAATGTTTGCCTATGAAGTGATTGGCAGTATATTACACATCTAGTATGTTATAACGATACTGCAGTGTGTAATTTGGCCTAATTTTGTTTTTTAGAGTGTAGGGTGAAAGGTGGAGAGAATGTGAACACAGCGTGTGTCTGTCTTCCTCCTTACTGTACTGCTGAAGTCTGCTTGATCATCCTGCATCCTTAGAGTTGTCAGAGCTGCACAGGCAAAAAGCTTTTTGTTCTTCTTAGAGATAACAGTCGCACTTTCTCATCACACTTAAAAGTAAGGCTCGTATTACATGAAGTTCTTGGGAAAAGAATTAACATGAACATGCTTTTTTGTTTCAGAAATTCCATTACAAAAACCTTCTTCTAGGTGAACATGATGTCCCTTTAACATGTATTGAGCAGATAGTCACGGGTATGTATTATTCCTTACTCAGTCCATAAAAGCTGGTTCTATTCTGGAATTATTGCTTGAAGAGTCATACCTCAAATACTTGGGTTGGAATTTTATTTCTGGTTTTTTCCCTTTTTTTTTTAAATTCCAGGAAAAGTAATGAAAATGAAATTAATAAATTATTTTTAAATGGGGATATAGAATGTATGGGTTTTTATATTTTCTAGTATTTGTCTTTTTAGTTAAAATTTTAATCACTAAATGTAGAGGTGGTGGTATTGTGCAACTAAATGTAGAGGTGGTGGTATTGTGCAAAAAAAATCTTTAATATTGTCAAAAACAAAGTTAAAACTGACCCCCAAAAGTTCTAGGAATTACATACAAATGTGAAACATTCCAGAGAAGTGGTACTTAGGTGGTGGATGACCTTCCAGTTGTTTTCAGTAAGAATTTGTTAAAGTTTACTAAGAGGAGAGTGAGTAAGCAGAAAGAAATTTTTATTTTTTCTTTTTCAGTGAATGACCACAAGAGGAAGCAGAAAGTCCTAGGCCCAAACCAGAAACTGAAATTTAATCCAACAGAATTGATTATTTACTGTAAAGATTTCAGAATTGTCAGATTTCGCTTCGATGAATCAGGTCCCGAAAGTGCCAAAAAGGTAATCCTGTTAAGTTTTATCAGATTCTGGATTTTACACTGTGTTTGCCAGTTGCAGCTCTATATGGAAGTTCTCATTTCTCACTTGCTCAGTTTTTAATTTTTTTGGGTTTTTTAGGGGAAGTTATTTGATATCTCCTTACGTAAAGTCAAAGCCGGGAATGTTAATAGAACTATTTCCTTGGACTAGTTTATGGCTGCTTTAAGTATTCTACATAATTTTTTTATCAGCTCCTAAAATATGAAAAACTATCATGGATGTCTTTTACATTAAGACCATTACTGGCTTTTTTTCCCCCCCTGGGTTAAAAAGATTGAAAAGGTGGTGATATACTGTAATTGAGGTTTGGTAAGACTTTTAATTCTGTACCTCAGAATTTTATCAACAAACTAAAGGCTAGACTTAGGTTACATAAGGGCTACGTAATTGTAGGGACCTAATAATTATTAGCACTTTAAAGAAATTTTCATGAATTAATAATTTGATATTCCACAAGGGCAGCTAAAAGCTAAGGACTTTTTAATTGGCTTGTTTTCCCTCTGCCTTCCGGGGAACATTTATTGCAAACTCATGGAGTAAGATTCAAAGGCAGAAATTCCTACTTCTTGGTTTCCACATTTTGGTGTTAGCAGAGGAGTGAAGCTGACGGTCCTAATGCCCCTTGAGCCAGTCTCTGGTGCAGCAGATGCAGAGAATAAGAACAGAATTTCCAGGGGAAGCCTGCTCTCCTATACGGGGCACAGGGAGGCAGTGAGGGAGCTTTTGTACCGCCAAAAGTGGTGCCTTTGTGTTCCATGGTCAGGAGACTTACTATAGTGAATGTTCTGTTGATAACAAACGAAGCTGTCAGAAAGATCTTAAGGCAGCTGTCTTCATATACTTTGGTGAGGAAGCGATAGATTTATTTTTAGAACTAGAGTCAACAGTTTCTTCACAGAAGGGCAAACATGAGATGAATATCTAAAAATGCCTGACCATTGCAACTAGGTTACATAGCAGAGTGATGGTGGGATCCACAGCTGAAAGTTGTCAAGTAGAGTACGTGACCATCTGTCTGCATGCTGTGGTGTGGAGAATTCAGCTGGAAGACTTTGATGGCCCATTTCAGCTGTTCAGTTCTGCAGTTTGTGATTTTGGCATTTTACTAATTTAAGATGCCTATTCTTATATAGAAAGACTTAAGAAATTAATTAGGTAGCAGACTGTATGTAAAACAGTTGAGCCAGGTTACTTTTTTTGAACTTAAATATGGTTGTAATTTAATCAAAGCATCAGGACTCTGCTTATGAAACGGTTTACTTTAGAATGGGTAGCATCTCAAGAATAGAGGACACCATAGATCTGATGAGACTGAGTTCGGACAGGATATTTTTTAAGTAAGAAATTGATACAGTGGCCCAGTTTGGTTCTTTCAGAAAATTTACATCTCTCCTATTCTCTACTATATCTTAGTGATTGGAAATCATGATTATTTGGCTCATTCTGGTGCCATCTAGAATACTCGTTGGTCACTTTTGATGTGTGAGGCAATGTGCTAAGTTTAGTTGAGGAGATAAACATGAACAAATGAAAATTAAATAGCAGTACAAAGTAGCAACATAAAAGATGAGTTTCCAAATGAGTGAAAGAGGTAAAAAGTGCTCTGGAAATTCAGAATATCCTTATGTGTTGTTGCTGTTAAGTGTTACAGTGGGCCTTATTGAGCTGTCTACACAAGACACGCTAGGCTGGTCCAGTTTCTTATGTTCTTTCCCAAGACCAAGTTTGTGGCAAAAATCCTTTTCCTACTGTCTTAAAATATAAAAAGCAGTTACCTCAGACCGAAAAGAAACACTCTTTTTGTTTTTGTACAGTCATAAGGGGGGCAATACAGGCATTAAGAATATAAAACAAGACATTACGCTGTACACCAGAAATTGACACAGTGTAACTGACTATACTTCAATTAAAGAAAAAAAGAATATAAATGGAGATATTTTACTCTGATTGACATGTTTTCAAACACAGAGGGTTAAGTCATGTATGGCTGCCAAAGCTTCATGGCTTCATGAGTTAAATGATGTTCTAGCATACTCTTTTATTTTGAGTGAAAGTTTTCATCTAAAGTTAGGTAACAGTTGGGAAGTTGCAGCTTGATTTTACCTCCCAGAAATTTTGAATGCTATGTTTTCTCTGGAAATGCTTTGATTTTTATAAATAGATTTAAAATGACCAGGTCCATGTTCCGAGTTCTCTGGTGGGTAAACCATAGATTATTTTTGGAAATACTGAATGCAGTTATATTCCTGTTTGAATTGTGAAATCTTGACATGCTAAATTGGTTCACATTTTGTTAAATACTGCTGCAAAGCCTTCTGGTAGTCTACCTGGTATCTCCTAAATAGTATTATGACGGAATCAGATGACTCTGCTGCTGGATTCCTTAGCATTCATCCTCATTATCCTTGGGCTGTCATGAGTAAAGAAGGATATTTGGGGAAAGTCTGCTTAAAGAAAAAAGGAATTTGGATATCTAGAGTTGGACATCTAGCCTCAAGGCAACTTTGAGCCACCATTTCCTTTTGAAGAACTTTTGCTTGAAACTGAGGGGCAAAAAATTGTTTGTGATTTATCACTTATAAAAAGACATATGTATATATGAATGTTATATATATATATAAAAAGATGGTAAGTAAAATATATGCCATTTGTCTCCACTTTATTCTCAAATTATTTGGTTGTGAACCACTTGCTCAGGCGTACTTTCTAAAAGTGAAAATTCAACTCATCTATTTAAAGAACAAGCTGGCCTTTTCTGAATTGTCATTTTTGCCTTGAATCCACGACTTACTCCATGGTGGCTTTCAGACCACAGAAATATAGGAAACCAGTTCTGTTTGCCCGAGTGCTCGAACTGAACGTGGTTTGAGCTTCTCCAGTGCTGCCCCCAAGCTGGTCTGCGAGAAGGAACCAGCAGCTGTGGGTACTTGTGGCTTCTGTCCAGACGAGAGTGTCAGCCATGGTCCAAAAATCACTTCAAAAGTAGATTACTTTTTTTTCCTCCAATAAAGTATTTACCATAATTTAATGTCTTTGATACCAAGAGTTTCTTCATTTCCTGTGACAGCCAGGGCAAATGAAGTATTTCAGAGGCAGTTTTTAAAGATGTAGAGTTCTTCTGAAATATTTCAGTGCTTAGGGAATACATTACAAAATTAGAATAATTTTACATAAAAATGAGACCTACTTTTTTAAGTCTCTTAAACGGTTAGTGATGGAACCTAGGATTGTGGGCATAGGCGTTTTAAATAGTGTGTATGAAAAAGCTCAAGGAAGAGAACTCCTGGCTTTCTTTTTGTTCTCAAAGTGTCTTACAGTGACAGCATGAATGTAACCCAGATGACACAAGTTGTGCGTGCCTTTGTCTGGGTCCCCAAAGATACCCCTTGCTCAAGGTACTTGATAAGTCATATGAGCTTGTAGTTACACTGCTGAACAACAACTTTAGTTCAGGCTGTGTCCTCTTCCCCCCAAACCAACCATCGTGCAAGTGATTAAAGTGAGTTTGTTTCACAATATTTTTATAGTCTTCTTTAAATTTGGATGTTCTTAGATAAACTCATTTATTTCCTTACCTTTATAAATGTGATGTTGTGCTATTTTTAAAGGCTTTTTAGAAACGGGCAATGTTGGCTTTTGCCCAACAGGTAGACTTTGTTTTTGCTTTGTGGCCATAAAAAACATACTCCATCAACAATGATCTGTGGATTGCTTTTGTATAAGCAAGGCCCATGACTGCTTTCTAAATGTCACAGAGAAAGTGGTATCTAGTATTATTGGCTTGGAGCATTTTCCTGAGTATATTAGGAACTAATTTTGCTAACTAGTATTTTTAGTGCAGCTGCTATTAGGCACAAAGCATCTCCAGAAAGCTACCGAAGAGATGGCAGAAATGCAGAGGTCTTCGGGACTTTACTCAGGTCTGCGCAGAGAGGTCTTTCCTGGTCTCCTTCTCCAAGTTATTAACCGACTCTCTTCTTCCCTCACCATAACACTTCATATCCTCTTTCTTGCTGGATTTGTGTTTTCTCCTGTAGCACTTACAATTCTCTAATTTACTATAGTTTTTCTTGTTTATCTTGTTTAGTGTCTGTCTTCCTTGGTAGAATGTAAGCTTGATGAGAACAGGGATGTATGTCCATTTTGTTCACTCCTGCAGCCCAGGGCTTAGGACACGGTGGAGGCTTAGTAAGTATCTGTTGAGTAAATGAGACATGTGGTGTCTACCCTTGGGGAATTGAAGTTAATGGTGGAAGAAAAACAGAGAACCCCTGTGTCCTCCTTTTTGTCCACAGTCACAACTATTGTGTGAACACCTGGAAAGTACAGCTGTAAAAGCACAGGTAACTAAAGGGAGACTTTACATTGGAGCTGCTGTCATTCAGAGAGAACAGAAAGATTTCTGCAGTCAGTACCATGAAGCTGGCTCCTCAGTCTAGGAAGGCTTGTGAAGAGATGAGCATTGAACAGAGATGACAGTTTCAGAGAGAACGTGGTTGGCTGGGCAGTGGAGAAGGGTTTCTTTTCCCAAGCAGAGTGTGGCCGAGGTGGCCAGGACTAAGTCAGACAGAAGGTGCGCCAACATGTGTTCTCTTACTAGAGACTCCTGAGGGATTGTGGGAAGGAAAAGGATGTCTGGTAGAGGAGAGCCGGTCTGGGGAAGAGTCAGGAATAAGATTTCATTTATTATGCAAGTATCTGGGCACCATAGCAGATTACCCGGAGAACAAAGTTGGTCAAATGTCATCTCCAGAGAAGAATTCTTAAGCATGGATTTCTTTTCTTTTCTTCCTTTTTTTTTTTTTTTTTAGAATGTAGGGAAGCCCACAGAGATGTCATCAGGCGAGTATGGCTTAAGGACGTGGCTGTGTAATGCAGAAAAATGGGTCGAAAGTGAAAGAAGATCTTGAGAAAAGGGCAACAGAGCTTATAAACTAAATGTGAGGCCCAGAGGAGTAGGAAGTGATGAGGACTCTTTCAGGTGTAGATTTCAGTGGTGGAAGAAGTGCTTTAGAGAAGACTGTTGAACAGACGGGCCGGGAAGGGAGATCACTGTCTCCTAAGTTTCCTGAGTGGGGCTCTCATAGAATGCTCTCCTGCAGGCATTAAGATGAGCAAGATGTTACGTGACTTTCAAGGAGCTTTTGTTGTCTTTAGTCAAAACTAAAACTAATGATAACTCTGTTCTCTTAGTTGTATGCTTTAATTTGGTAAGACAGGAAACATTTATTCTATAGAAGACTTTTAAATTTTATTTTAAACAACCAACTGACATCTATGTACCGGTTAATAGAATTGCCATCAACCCCCCACCCCTGCCCAGACACCACTAAATTGACTTGAACTAACAACTAAACTTTTCTTGCTTGCTCACTGTCAGAAATGTATCATGCTGGCTTAATGCTTTTTATTCTAAATATTTAATCTTTTAAAGTAAGATCGTCTGTTAGCCTCTCCTTGCATGTGTCTTCAATTTCTTCTTTCTTCTTTGCTCATTGAAGAGAATTTTCTCCCATAGTCTAATCCAGGGCTTTGTAAGCTTAGACATGACCCTTCCTTCTGTCCAACAGCAGTTGGGAGCAATAGCAACCACATTCCCATGTGTGGAGCTCCTCCAGAGACTAGCCAGGCCCACACTGGGACTGTTCATCCCCATCGCAGCCCTAGGCAGTACCTTCCACCTCTGTTTCACAGCTGTGCAAACCAGGCTCCAAGAGGTGAACTGACTGCCAAGGCATGTAACAAGGGGCTCGTAGAGCTCAGATTCAGGCCCTGATCTGCTTGATTCCAAAGGCCTTGTCTCAAACCATTTTACTTAAACACAGTTTTTTTGTTGTTGTTTTGGGGGTTTTTTTGTTTGTTTTGATGTACTACTTTGAGCCACCCATGTATTTTTGGGGTTCTTTCTAATTTTTATCTTTTGTAAAAGATAAAATAAAATAAAATTGCAGCTTTTATGTTAAGTTTAGATTTTTAATCCATGGGGTATGAACATTAAAATTTCATACCTTACTTTAAGGCCTCCAAATTGCTAGTATTAAATCATTGCAGTCCACCAAAAGTGAAACTTTTCTTTCTTTTTTTTAGGAGTGGATATGTCACTGCCCTTTTGGAGAATGCTTCGTTAGTTTCCAAGTTTTGCTTATCTGAATAAAATTACTTTCCTGTTAAAATTCAACTCAGCAAACACTTACTGAATACTTAACCATGTACTCACTAAAGATTATAAACAGTGTCTTGGGGCACGACATTTAATGAGATACCTGGCCTTCAGGAGCTCTGTCCCGTTCTAGGTCACCAGGAAAACAAGTAAAAGTATCTGTAATCACTGCCCCAGAGTGATGCTCCCAGTGCTCAAGGCCTTGTTGTACATTTCATTTAACTAAGTGTGTTAAAATCAATTCTAAATGTAGAATTTTTCCTAGGTATGCCTTGCAATAGCTCATTATTCCCAGCCAACAGACCTCCAGCTACTCTTTGCATTTGAATATGTTGGGAAAAAATACCACAATTCAGGTAAATATGAAAATATTAAATATTGTGACTAACTTTACATTGTATACATTTTATTCTTATGTTTTATCAGAAGCCTCCAAGTACATGAGCTTTAATGATTGTAGAATTATTAGCTTCATAACTGTTAAGAGAAGTAAGCTCTTTATACTAAAGGAGACAATATTTGTCAGATTATCTCTTAAAAAGTGGACTGTAAACATAAGCTTGTGAGAATCATTTCAGATATTTCACCTGCAGTCACCGGCTTGTATTTTATGATGAAGGAAGATACGTCTCCCTCGCCCCCTCCCTTTAATTGGTAGCTTAAGTTAAAGTAATCTTTTAAGAAAAGTGGCAGAAAATTCAAAGGTAGTTGAAATGCATAATCTTTTTTGGCAAGGTGGGATTTTATGCAAAAGCTGAAGGAGTTAAACTTTAGCGCACTTCCTTAAGATTGTCAAAATGATGACTTTATATTTCTGAGTAAGAATCATGAAAGGAAGCTGAGCATTTGCCCAAAGGACAGGTAGACTTTAAACAGTTTTTATAAAAGTAAAATAGTTCTGTGCACATATCTATGTCAGCGATGGTATCACCAAGGAAAATTCCCAGCAATCATGTACTTCTCTGCTTTCTTTTTGTATACAGATGTCATTTTGATCGACTATTTTTTTTTAACAAATCTCTTAAAAGGATAGAGGAAAAACAATGAGATCATGTCTCATATTACCCCCTTGTAGGTTAGTGACCGCACGCTGACTGGCCTGCTGAGTCACGTGCTATCCCGCTCTTTAAGGAAGAAAGATGTATCAGTCACATGTTGAGAATGAAATGTCTGTTCACTCCAGCATGAACTGATTGTGGATCTTATAAATTACTAATTTTATTGATCTTTTACGTTTTGTTACCTCAAAACATGGGTAGTAATTTAAATAATCTGTATAATAAAAGTTTATCCCAGTATCACTGTATTGTAAATACGTTAAAATGTAGGAACAGTACGTAGTATCTGTAGATGCATTTGGTATAAGTACATCTTCACTCCTTTAACAGGTACTTGTGAACACCATAGAGATGATATGTGAAAGTCATAGTTTTTATCTTATGGTGCTATATTTATAGAAATTGGATAATAAAATACTTGTAATTTAATTTTTCTTATCAAAATGTAACTAGTTATAACTTAGGTTTGAACAATACAACTAATATTTCAAGTTTATATTTTTATATGAAGAAAACTCACTTACTGTCTAAAAATAAAGTCTTGTAGATCCTGTACTAGGAGTTAAGTGAATAATCCTTTGGCTCATCACCAAGCTACCAGCCGCGATCGTCAGGGTTCTCTTCATTAAGGTTCTCACCCAGAGTTGCAATAAAGTAACTGGTACGAGAGTTGTAAGAGAGAGTCTTCGATTCCCACTTAAATTTATTCCTGAAACAGACCAATTCTTGATACTTTTTTCTGGTAGAAATCGATGCAGTCTGGTGCACAGATGCACACGTTCTGCACAATGTGCTGACTTGAGCTCAGCAGATCCAGTAACCTCCCGTGTGCGTTTGGTGACCTGATGCCTGCTTCAGTTACTTCTCATGGTTTTCTTCATCCATTCCTCGTGGGCATCTCTGGGTTGATAATACTTTAAATAGTTTATTCAATCCATAGCTCTTCTGCTACTGGGTTTTCTTACTCACGTCAGTCACTTCTTGTATCTTCTCATACAGTGTTTGCAGATAAAATAACAATTGATAATGAATACTTAAAATATTCAGGAACACTTTATGTTACATCCTTCAGACTCCTTCTCCTTGAGAGGTACTTCATAACCATAACACTTGGCCAAAGTTTTGTTAAGATTCCTCATAGGGTAACATCCTTTAATATCCTTCCATGCTGTTCCAGAAGCATAAACTGCATCTTTAAGATCAAAGGAAGCCTGAAATTTCCACACACTGCAGTCAGAATTCATTAATTTGTGAGTGAAAGATGCCCAATAATCCACCCTTGAACTTCTGGATGACACCTTGATTGATTGGCTGGATTAAAGAAGTCCTTTTTGCAGGCAGGTAGGTGACAAAGCTGTTTCCACAAATAAGATCTGAAGTTAGAGGATGTCCCCTGCACTTACCTAAGAAAAAAGTCTTTTAGGTGGCCTTAGGCCTTCTGAGATTTTCTTTTCTAGTCGGCATCACTAGAGTAAAAAGCCATCTGTGAACTGCTCTCCAGTTCTCCGGGCCCTTCCGTGGGGATCCTACAGTTTGGGGAGACACACAGCGCCCGCAGGCTTTGGGGCACTTGTGCACACAGCCCCATGGGGGCACTGGTGCACACCGGAATTATGGTTCTGTGTTTTCTCTTTTAACTTGAAAGAAACCACAAGGATGTAGTTTTCACCAGTCAGCTTATTATTGGATAAATAATGTCCAGAAACTACAGATCCAGCTCTGTTATAAAGTTGGTGAGATGTCAGATTATGCTTCTCCAGTGGCCTGTGGCCTCGATGCCAGCAGCTCTCCTTCATGATAACACACCGTGCTTTCAAGTGCTGTGACGTCGTCTCAGGTCAAAATGTGGACTCTCAGCAGAAAATCCACACTTTCAGCCGAGTTCTTTCATTTTGTAATTTTATCCTCCTTTTTTAAACATAGGTCTCTGTATTGGATTTTTCTTTAGATGCTTATTTGAAAACCACTAACGGAGAACAAAATCCATTTGACACTTTAGAAATTTTTTTAAGTTTGTTACTTGTCAGTTTTCTTAATACTCTCAGTGTAGCTGTAAATGGTTGTGATCGGTCCTCGTATCTTGAGCAGCAGCGCGGCAGCCTTGTGCATCAGAATCCCTGGAGGAGCTTTGAGCAGGGCGCATCCTCGCTCCACCCCAGCCCTGCAAAGCCCCAGTCTCCCTGTTGGAGCCACCTTGTTGACTCGGCTCTCTTGAACCCCTTATTGATCACAGTTCTGTCTTTCCCCTTTTTCACCTTTTACGACTTCGAATTTATGCAGTATCATCAAAGCGGTAAGGTTTCTTTTGGAATGTTGACCTCTTGTTTTGTGTTTACTGTTGTGTGAGGCCATTGTACATGTGGAGGGGCTAATTCAGTGGAAACCCTCTGAGATAATTTCAGCACGGGCTGGGATTGGCCCTCTGACCTGTATCACAGGAAGGAGCGAGGGTCAGGAGCACTCAGTTTCATTTCAGTTGCTGAGGAGAGATGTCCTAAAACCTCGTCAGGTGACTGTCAGGATCAGCTCTCCCTGAAATGAAGGGCTTGGCCAGTCTGTTGCTGCAACCCCGATTAGTAATCCACTTACAGGCATAAGGCCTTTGGGACTCTGCAGAGCATGAAAATGTCCAGCCTCTCTAATGCCATAATAAGCCCTCACCAAAGATGTAAAGAGCGCAGTCCTGGTTGCTGAGAAACAGACAGGCTCCGAACAAGCAAAATGCATGAAATGGCAAACAATGCAAGACCCTGTGGAGACTCTCACTTGATGTTCAGAAAAATGTATCTATCCTTGGTCACGTCCTGAGACTCTATAACTTTTGCCAGTCTCATAAACAGTGAGTGTGTTCTCGGCCTCGCTTACTGAAGTGTGTGCCTTCAGGGCACTGAGAACCCAGCTCTGGACCCCTGGCTAGGGGCACTTTAAAAAGTTTGAATGTGTTCCTTACGCTTTCGGGTGGTGGGCATCTCGTTGTGTGGGAGGACCTCTGTTGAGTATGGAATAGTAATGGCAGATATCCCTTCTGTTCCTGGTTTTATAAGGATGACGTTTGCTATGTGTTTGTGATAAATATCCTTGATCAAGTTAAGGAAATTCCCTTTTATTCCTAATTTGCTAAAATTTGTGATTTTTAAAATCACGAGCACATGTTGAACTTTGTCAAATATTTTTCTGCACTTGGGAGAGTTTTTCCCCTTTAATTTGGTCATTTGATGAATTATTTATATTTTCTAATATTGAACCAGCTATCTCTTTTTTTGCTGCTCTGGAACACTGTGTATAAAGTCAGAATTGCCTGAAAATTCCATGGAGGTTCTGCCTTCTGGAGAGATCACAGCTCCCATGTTCCCAGCACGTCTGTGGTGGTTGTCACCCTAGAGAAGGTGCTGAGAAGGAGTGGCACTCCAGGATATGTGCTGAGAATTAGCATTTTAGTTTTTAACAAGCTCTGTTAAAATCAGAATCACTGGGTAATTCTGATGCCACTTAAAGGATAAAATTCAGGATTCCCGGTGTGGCGCGTTAAGACCCTGCAGAATCTGGAGTGGCAGTGTCCAGTGGTGGAGATGTCCTGTCGTCTGCGTTCTCCAGGAAAGAAGCCACAGGCCACGCGTGCCTGTTGAGCACTTGAAAGGTGGTTGGTGCGACAGAGGAACTGAATTTTTTTTTTAATTTTAATTTCAGTTTAAGTTTAAATAGCACATGTGGCTAGTGGGTACTGGTGGTTTTGGGCAGCACAGAGTGAGAGTCTAGGCCCCATCTAATTTTCCAGGCTCTCTTCCACCATCCTGTGCATCTTTAACACTCTCGCTGTCTTTAGTTACTTGATGTTAAACAATTATACCACGTTCTTTATGTTCTGCTCTGTCCCGCATGCCTCTCTCCTCCTCATCGGTCACCTGGCGACATTCGGCTCATTCCTTCAGACTCTGCTCAGGTGTGGTTGAGCCAAGAGCCTTTCCTGGCCCAGCCTGTCCACAGCCAGCCTGGGGTTTACTGCGCTCCGCTGGCTCCACCCAGCTACACCCAGCGCACCATGACCCACAGTGCACTCACCCTCTACTCTCTGTTAGTGCTTTCAGAATGAAGATAAAATTTCACTCATTTTTCCATTTTCAGGCCTTAGCACATGGTAGGTTCTCAGGAAGTATCTGTCTTGCACCAGGTTTAGTAAATAGTTTATAGGAAGGGGCCTGTTCATAGGATGAAGGAGGGGTTTCATGGCTACAGAAGGAGTGGGAGTTAGGGGAGAGTGGGTCATAATCGTCAGAGCCACTTAGGTTTCCTGGGTTCTGCTGGAAAGTGAGCATGATTGACCACTGGGGCCTGGGTCAGTATCATGAAAGCATGGTTTACAGGAAATGTCTTGGGGCAGCTGAGGCTGGTTTGAGTGCAACAGAATGTCGTGTCACTAGACCAGGGACAGTTATGCCATTTGTCACCCCAGGTGGCCAGGCTGACTGCTGGGACCCCTTCTTTCTCTCTGGTCACTCTGCAGGCCCTCCTGAGGCTGGAGGCAGGCTCCCAGGAGATCGAAGTGCTTCTCAAGTAGAGAAGGCTCCTCGCTAAGGAAATTCGGGCCTGGGCCCTCGGCCGAAATCTCCGGTGGGACTGGCACTCTGGTGGAGTGTAAGGAGTCCGTGTGAATTCATCAAAGACAAATCGAGTAGAGATAGGAGACCAAGAATTTTATAGTGAGTCAGACAGAAGAGGGATGAGAAGTCAGTATTAGAAAGATGAAAGGTTTGCACGGCTTGAGAATAGAGGTGATTATTGACTGCATTCATCTTTCCAACCGAAGTGTGTGGAGAAAATTAGCAGTGACTTGGATTGACCCACAGTTTGGGGCAGGGGGATGAGAGAGGCTTGTGCGTGGTTTCCATAGAATGGTGGGGACAGCAGACAGTGGAGAGTTAAGGAGACAATAAATGGAAATACTGGTGGCAGGCATTGTCCATCATTTCAGGAGGTGGTCAAAGGAAGGAGGGAAATGCATCCTGTAGTGGCTGGAATGGTCCAGTGTGATCATATGCAAGTCTTTTCATTGCCGTGTTTGCCTGTTGGTGATTGAAGGCATTGGAGACAGAGCTGGTAAAGGACAGAATATCAGAGGAGCTGGGAGGGAGCTGGGCGAGGACCAGACACGATGAGCTGTTCTGAGAGCAGCAGGGTCTCAGGACTGCTGGAAAGGGTGGGATGGTCTCGGAGAGAGTTGAGAGACAGTCACGGACAAGGTGCCGCATCAGAGTATGTCTGTGACGGGAGGCACGGAGAGAGGAGAGGGAATGGTGGACGAACTGTGACTGTTGAAACAAAATGAATAATATTGCTTTTCCTTACAGCCAACAAAGTTAATGGAATACCCTCGGGAGGTGGCGGCGGCGGCGGCCTCGGAGCTGGTGGTGGCAGCAGCCTAAAAACTCCACTGTTTGAAACGTACTCAGACTGGGACAGAGAAGTGAAGAGGACGGGTGCTTCCGGGTGGAGAGTTTGTTCTATTAACGAGGGTTATATGATATGCACTTGGTAAGCCCGACTTTCACTGTGTTACTTACTGGGAGTGACTGCTTGTGAAGAGTAATCAAACTCTGCTCTCAATAACTTTCAGGTTGTGGTTAGTGTCATACTTACTTTTAATATCGCTTTAATGAAGATTTTATTTTAAAGATAGGGACTTTTTTTTAACATAATAACAATGACAGTATCTATTATAAGAAATTGACGGTAATTCCAGTAGTATTGTCAGTAATCTAGTCTGTGTTTATTTGCAATTGTATCTCGTATACATGTCTTTTAGAGTTGGTTTGTTCAGATCAGGGTCACACTGAATTCGTTTGATCTGTCTGTTCTTAGTCTGTGACAGTCTCCCCCATCCCTTTGTTACCTGGCATTTTTTGTTGATAGAACCAGGTCATTTGTTCTGTGGACTTTGTCACTTTCTAGATGTTGCTGGGTTTATCCCTGTGGTGTCCTTCAATGTGTTCCTCTGTCTACTGTATCTAAAACGTTAGCTCTAGAGGCTTAAATAATTATAGCTGACCCTTGAGCAACACGGATTTGAACACACATTTTTTCTTAGTGGTAAATACTTCAGCATTGCTCCATCCCCGCAAGTTGAATCTGTAGGTGCGGAACCGTGGGTCCGGAGGAACCACGTACAGGGAGGGCCAGCTTTAAGTTGTATGTGGATTTTCAGCCGTGCAGAGGGTCTGCACCCCTCACCCCCGGCATTGTGCAGGGTCAGCTGTAATTAGATTCAGGTTCCAGGTTGGGGCAGGAATGATCCCTGAGTGGCGTCGTGCACCTGCCGCTGCATCACACGGGGTCTGGAGGTCACTGCGATGCCGACTCACCCGTGGGCCCACGGCAGTCAGCCTGACCCCTCCGGGGCACTGCTCCCCTTGTGTGTTGTGTGTTCAGCTGCCAGAAGCGTTTTCATCAGGAGTGAGGATCATCGCGTGGGTGCGTTGTTTTGTTAAGGATTGCTGTTGGTCATATTCCAGTTCCGTCAGACTTTCCTCCCATCAGCTCTTCAGTACCCTGAGCTGCAGTTTGTATGAGGAAGGTGGTCCAGGTGTTTACTTTTTCCCTTTACTTATTTAACCAGTATTCAGAATGAATGGGTTTCCTAGAATCCTCCGAGAGTGCCCAAGAAATTGGTTTTTAAATTTTTGCCTGATAGTATTGTTTAGGACTCTCGGATTTGGGGGAATGTTTTGTCGTTAAAGTCCTCACTGTGTTTGAGGTAAGCAGCGGTGTGGACGGTGTGGAAGGAAGCACGAGGAGTGCGCGGTGCTGGGGAAGGGGCTTTGGAGCCTGCAGCTTGGGTCTTCTTTTGCCTCCCCCTGAACTTTACCTTTGTGGCCAGCCTGCTTGTGTGTTACGTGTTGAGAAGCACGTGACAGGGCCTGCCTGGGCCTCCCTCTGTCCAACTGCCTGGTCATGGGAGCAAAGAAAAGGGTGAGCCTGCCTGGAAGTAACTGCATCTAGTCAGTGTCCTAGAGTCAGCCTGCCTTGGGGGTCTGGGAAACGGAAGATGAAGAGGCTGAGAGGGGAGCTGAGCTTCTTGGTAGATGTCAAGTTTGATCCGGGTTTGGTTTTGCGTGCCTGGTGCTCCCTCACCCGTAGCCTGTCAGGAGAACAAAGGTGCGTATGTTTTTCAGAAATTACATACATGGTTGAGTAATAGTCATTCTGGAAAATATTTCAAATGCTTCCTTTGGATTTTCCCCCTGCTATAAATAAAATTTTTGTGGTAATTGACCACATCACGCGTGTTTTAGACTGAGATGTCTGGGGTCATCAGTGTCACCCACAGCACCCACCGGATGGCTCCTGAGTAGGGTGTGCATTAATTAAATACGGGGTCTACAGAGCACACTCTTCCTGCCCAAAGCTCGGGCTCTGATGTTACAATTTGTTTTCTCCTCTCCAGCCTTCCAGAATACTTTGTAGTGCCAAGTTCCTTAGCAGACCAGGACCTGAAGATCTTTTCCCATTCTTTTGTTGGAAGAAGGATGCCAGTAAGTGACGTCTGTTGGGTTTCATGGATACAGATGTTCACTGCTTCTCCCCGGTTAAGTAAAGACCCCGCTTCTCTCCTAGTTCTGGTGCTGGAGCCACGCTAACGGCAGTGCCCTTGTGCGAATGGCCCTCATCAAAGACGTGCTACAGCAGAGGAAGATCGACCAGAGGTAACCAGGGCCCCTGCAGCTGTCTAACGCAGTGCTGTGAGCTCTGCCAACTGAAGGTAGTTGGAGAGTGCTGCAGTTTTATTAATTAGCACCACACATTCTAGCAAGAATTACCACTGTGGAAAGAACGTGAATATATTCAGATTAACGTTTAAGTTACACTACATGTAATCTAATGCTTTGGCTTGTAAGACACTTGAGGATCTTACATTGCTGACACAGGGCTGTAATGTTGCTTCTACTGAACTTTCAAAGTGCAGTGATTTCCAGTTGAGACATTTGAGGATCAGTCAGATTTTTCCTGTGGTTCAATGTGTCTGTGGTCTGCAGAGTCACAGGAACTAGAATGGTGGTTTTAGTTAGCTCTCACAGACAGGTTTGGCGTCATCTGCTAAAGTCACTTGTCACCTCCGTGACCTTGAAGTATTAGCCTCTCTCAGGCTTCCTCATACTGGTGGGCACCACTGTTGGTCAGTCTCTCCTGAAAGGCCCCTGGGCCCCCGGCCCTGCTCCTCTCTGCTTTCCTGTAGCTCCTCTTCCTCACTGTGCTCCATGCACCCCGCCAGCTTGCCCTTCTCTCTCCAGGTGTGACTTAGTGTCCGTCTCAGGCCACTTCCTCCTCCCATTCCACGTTCCCTTCCCAAAGGAGTTCACCTATAGCTGTGGCTTTTGTGGCTGTCATATTTATATTTCCAATTTGACGTTTTCCACACAGAGGTCTCAGAGGCCCCTTAAGTTCATGTTTAAAACCAAACTCAAGTACATGGGTACCACACCTCCTTCCAGCCTGCACTCGGAAACCTGAGAATCATCCTTGGTGCCTTCTCCTTCGCTTCCCTCCCTGTGTCCAGTCCATCATCAAATTCTTTCCCTTTGTTTTTCAGAAATCTGACTCATCTTGTCCCACCCAGCACCCCCTGTACCAGTGTGTCGTAGGGGCCCCCATTTCTTCCTCATCCAGTACCACACTCTGTCCCTCTGGGCTCCAGCCACCCTGGGCTTTTGCTGGCCTTCGGTATCTCCTGACCTTTGGCTGTGCTGCCCCTTTTCCTGGCTGCCTTCTCACTGGTCCACGAGCACTCCTTCCCCCATCACTTGGTACTCATTCTCTGCATCTCCATTCAGACATCACTTCTCTAAGATGAGCATTCCCTCACGTCCCACATTACATAAGGCCTCAAGTTATGCATTCTCTAGCACTCTGGGTTTTTCTTCTTTACACTTATTTCAGTTTTTAGTTGATGATGTGTGTTACAGTTTGAGTACTGGCTGTCTTTCTTACAAGTCTGTGAGGAGAGGGGACTGTCTGTCTTGCACACCGTGGTTCTGCTGTATTCAGCGCCCAGGAAGTACCTGAGTGTTGGTTATTTATTCAGTACTTGTGCAGTAGATGAGGAACAAAGGAAAAGATCTTAGAAAACAGTCCCAGAGAGCCTGAGAAGTCGTGTATCACGGGCTGTGACTGGCACGGCCGGCTCGTCCGTCCCCCTGCAGTGCCGGAGCGGAGACGGCCGCGCTGGCGAGATGAATGCCTGCCCATTGACCCCAGGTGACCCTGCAGCTTCCCGCAGTTGGCACGTATTCTCGCCGGCTGAGAGTCTACCTTAACCACTTCCTATCTTGTCGTGTTCTCACTGACGTGTCTGCCGATGAAGTGCCCAGTTAGGCGTGTGGCTGCTAAAGGGAAGGCGGCAGCCCTGGTAACTGTAAACTGAACAGCCTGTGGCAGGCAGTTTTCGTTATTTAACTTACTAAGCTAAGAATTACTTGTATTTTCAGCTGTCTGCTCTTCATAATTAGGACAGATTCTGTTGTCCAACCTTGTGTCCACCCTTTTTCCCTCAGATATCTCTTAGCCCCACTGGCCTTCCCTAGGTTTGTCCAGCAGCCAAGCTGTGTTCTACCACAGGACCTTTGCACTAGTGGCCCCTCTGCCCAGAACACTTCCCCCGAATCTTTGCACAGCTCCTGATCATTGGGTTTCAGCTCCAGTGTCACCATCACAGAGGAGCTTTTTCTGAGCCCTTGACCTGAGCTAGCCGGCGTCCCTCCATGATATCACCCTTGGCGTTCACCACAGCCTGCTGTTTGCTCATTACCCTGCCACCAAGAATGCCAGCTCCGTGGAGGCAGAGACCTGGCCAGTCTCGTTCCTCTCTCCATCCCCAGCCCCTGGAGTAGTGCCTGGCTCATAGTAGGTGTTTAGAAGCTGTGTGTTGAATAAATGAGTGAATAGTGACTCTGAGATTTTGTCTTTATTAGGATTTGTAATGCAATAACTAAAAGTCATCCACAGAGAAGTGATGTTTACAAATCAGATTTGGATAAGACTCTGCCCAATATCCAAGAAATACAGGCGGCTTTTGTAAAACTCAAGCAGCTGTGTGTTAATGGTAACCTCCTTTTTGTTTTATATGTGTGTAAATAATGAATGAGGGATTATGTGAGGCATTGTGTGAGGCATGTCAGGAAGGGCGATATTAGAAATTTAGAAATAGATATACTTCAGTAGAGGCTCGTTGAAATATTTGTACAGATTATTGTGTGAGAATGTCAGAAGTTCTTAGAAAGTGTAGGTTAGGCTGCTTTTAGTTTGGGAGGAAAAGATGAACCAGTTAGATCACTTTCAAATCATGAAAGGTATGGTAGGACACTTCCATGAAAGTGTCTGCTAAGTAGAACACCGTGCTACCCTCCAGACAAGCTAAGATTTTAATATATTCGGTTATATTTTGAGATACATGTGACATGAACTTCAAACAGAGCCTTGTTATAATCTGTGCAGCCTCAGAGTTCCAGCGTGTCTGTTTGGGTTGGATGACTCACAAGACAGCCTCTTGGTGTAAAGCGGCCCCTCCTTAAGGTGTGCAGGAGAGAACCCGCCATCACCGCGGGGCAGAGAGGCAGCCACTGCAGCAAGACTGGAGGGACCGCAGGTGCTGGTCTGGGATAGGAGCTGATAGAAAACACAGTGACTGATTTTCAGCCACCCAGGAAGTGGAGTGTGGCTGAAGCATGAGGCAAGAGGCACCCTGAGACAAGCCAGGACATGGCTGGGCAGGGCTGTGTGAGCCCTGCCAGGAAGGTGCCCTTTCCTGCAGCAGTCAGCCACCGAGGCCACGTGCACCAGGCCCTGGGAGGCGGCGCCAGCAGCAGGAAGGGAGAGAGGCTGGGAGGGCAAGGCTGGTGGTGAGGAAGCTGAGTCCGGAGGGCCAGAGTCAGGGAAGGCTGGGTCAGTAGCTCTTAGGATGTGCAGAGGTTGTCGGACTCTCCAAGATCTCCCCGAAAGAGCCAGAGATGGGATGGAGGCCTAGAAGATGCTTTGTTTTGTTTTTATAGAATTGTAACGTGTCCTCTTAAATGTTTATATTGTTCAATGAAAATGCATAACATTTTCTTAAAGCCAACGTTTAAATATTAAAAACTGTGATGTATCACCTAAGTCTGAATTTGATCATGAAAATTAAGCTTAAGAAGCCTAAAAATGTTGTATGTATATATATGTGTGTGTGAATATAATTATATATATAGTTATTGTATTAATTACAGAACCATTTGAAGAAACTGAAGAGAAATGGCTGTCTTCACTGGAAAATACACGGTGGTTAGAATATGTAAGGTTTGTACAAGTGCTTTCCTTTTTTAAAAAACTTTACTTTGAAATAATGGTAGATTCACAGGAGGTACAAAAATATCACAGAGAGCCACGTACTCCTCACCCAGCTTTCCCCAGGGGTCACACCTGACATAGCTAGACTCTAGTCATCAAACCCAGGAAGGGGACAGTAGTCCAGTCTCCACGCCGTATTCAGATCTCCCCACGTTACACAGGCCCTCGTGTGTGTGTTTCTATACAGTTTCCTCCCGTGTACAGATTCACGTCCCCACCACCACAGCGAGGTGGAGCGCTGCTCCTTCCCGCGGCCCCTCTCACCCGCACCTGACGTCTCCGTCCCCGTCCCTGGACACCACTCATCTCTTCTCCATCTCTGTAGTTTGGTGATTTCAAGAATGTCATGGAAATCAACACATTTCTTTTTATAAAAGGTTAATGAATTTCCCTGATATAAAAATCAAAATGTACTCGGTTGATGAATCGTATAAATACTGAAGAAGTTCAAGAAGGTTACAGAGGATACAAATGTGCATAGTGAAAGATTAGATTTGCTTCATTTCAAGTACTCCAAAAAATTTATTTGTGGTGGAAATTTGCTTTTTAACAGTATTTTTCCCTTCTCTTTCCAGGGCATTTCTTAAACATTCGGCAGAACTTGTGTACACACTAGAAAGCAAACGACTCTCTGTAGTCCTGCAAGGTAATTCATTACTGAAAACACTGGTCCCCGTGCCAGCCAGCCTGACTGGTGGCCCACATGCCAGTGATTACGTGCATCTGGGCCACCTCTTATTTACTCCAGTGCCACCAAGTACACTCCAGATCCCACCTGTCATTAGAGTGAAACAGTGGCTCAGAGACGTCTGGTAGAGGAACAGAAAGGAGTCAGATTTTCTGTCCTGTATTAAGTCTTCCTTCCTGTATTATGGGAAGGGTGGGTCACAGCCCTTACTGGATTCATATAAAGTATTCATCTTGGCGGAGCCTCCTCTCCGATCTTGCTGTCTTTCTAATTCATACGAATTTTAGTTTAAATGCCTCTGACTCATGCTGGATTGTGACTCTAAAGACACAGTTAGTGTCAGGAAATTGAACTGAGTCACCAGTAATGTGAGTTTTGTCTAGTGTTTGGCGGGAATAAATGGCAATATAAAAATCTTTCAGTTAAGCAAAGAATACTGTGTATTAAATAACTTTACAGCTAATAGAATTTTTAAGCTTTCAGGCAAAATGTAATAAATCATGAGCTACCTGGTTTTATAATATTTTCACCTTACATAGTTTATGAACGCGCTAAGCGTATTGAAGTATTTTTACCAACTGTCAAATTAACTGACTTTAACAAAGGAGAATGCAAAGATAAACCTTGGGGAAAAGAAAGACAAGTAAGGCACCATTTCCAGTCATCCTTAACTGATGCTGTCAGCGTGTACTTAACGCACAGAGGCAGGCCAGGCCCAGCAATCCATCAGTCTCTCCTCTCCCAGCCCCTGGGTGTTCCCATCCTGTTGCAAAACGCTACTTAGCACATTTCATGCGCTTGTTGTAATATAAAATGCCTCAGAAGAGATACCGAGCCTGCATTTTACTAACACTTTTTTTAAGTAAGTGTTTTTTAAACAGTTCATTGAGATATAGTTTACATATTACCAACTTCACCTGTTCTGAATGTGCAGTTCAATAACATTTAGGAAGTGGAGTCCCGTTTTAGAAATCTTCCATCACCCCACAAAGATTCCCTGTGTCCCGACCCCTGACACCCACTAATCTGCGTTGTCTCTAGATTTGCTTTTTCTGGCTGTTTCATATAAATGGAATCATGTAGTATGTGGTCTTTCGCCTCTGCTTCTTTCATTTTACATGTTTTCACAGTTCATTCAGATACATGTATCTGCAGTTTGTGCTTTTTCATTTCTGAGTAAAGGACCAGTGTTTGTAGGTACCACATTTTATTTGTCCATTTCTTTGTTGATGGGAGTTTGGATGGCTTCCACTTTCTGGCTGTTATGAGCATGCTGCTTTTAACATTCCTGTAAAAGTCTTCGTGGGGACATATGTTTTTATTTATTTTGGGCAGATACCTAGAAGTGGGGTTGTTATATGGTAAATTTATGTCCACATTTCCCTTCCCTTCAGCAGTGTGTCAGGTTTGTTTCTCCACATCCTGGCCAGCACCCTCACTGTCTGCCTTCAGGATCATAGTCATCTAGGAAGTGTGAAGTGGGAGTTCATCGCAGTCTTTATTTGCATTTCCCTAATGCACTCCATGGGCTTAGTGGCTGCTGATGAATTGTCTGGAGTGAAATACCAGATCTTTGCCTGTTCTTCAGTTAGGCTGTTTTGTCACTGGGTTCTATGAAGTCTTTACAATTCGAGATGCAGTTTGTTTATTTCTTTATATAATTTGCAAGTATTTTTTCCTAGTCTGTAGCATGTCTTTTCACTTCCTTGGTGACTTTTGAAGCACAAATTTTTAAATTCTGAGGAAATCCATTTTTTTCTTTTATAAATCATGTTTTTGGTGTTATATCTAAGAACTGCTTGCCTGATTCAAGGTTATGAAGACTCTTCTGTGTTTTATTCTGTAAACGTTTTATAGTTTTAACTCTTACACTTAGGCCTGTGAGTCACTTTGAAGGAATGTTTATGTACGATGTGAGGTGAAGGCGTGTGTTTATCTTTTCTGCATGCACGTGTATGTGAACTGTCCCAGCACCGTTAGTTGAAAAGACCGTCCTTTCCCTGCTGAGACGCTTTGCCAAAGCTCTGCCGGCAGGCCCTTCACTTTGGAGTCTCAGTTGTATGCCACTGATCTTTTTGTCTGTCCCTGTGCCGGCACCATGGTATCTTGAGTGCTGTAGCTTTAGAGTACGTCTTGAAATTAAGACATGTAAGCACTCCAGCTTTGTTTTCAGAATTGTTTTGGTTATTCTAGGTCCTTTGCATTTCTGTAGAACTTTTTTAGGATCAGCAAAAAAGGACCTGCGGGGATTTTGATAGGAATATGTTGAACCCATAGATTGAGGAGAATGCCACCTTAACAGACCTTGAGTCTGCCAGTCCACGAAATGAACACCTCTCCACCATTTGGGTTTTCTTCCGTGTCATGTCATCAGTGTTTTATAGTGTTTAGTGTACAACTCTTGTCCTTACTGTGCTAAAGCTCTCCGTAAGTATTTGATTTTTGACGCTTTTGTGAATACAGTTGTTTTCTTAATTTCATTTTCAGGTTTACTGTGTACTCATTGTTACTGTGTATAGAATTCCTGCCACCTTCCTGAACTCACTCCTTAGTCCTGGTAGTCATTTTAGAGTTTCCCTGCAGACATGTTACTGCATTTTCCTGTCCAGTCTGCCTTTGGTTTCTTTTCTTGCCTGATTTCCCTGTGTAAAGCTCTCGGCTCAGTGTGCAATAGAAGTGAGCAGAGCAAACCTCCTTGTCTTGTTGCCTGTCTTAAGGGGAAAGCATCCAGTCTTTCACTAGTAAAAATGATGCTAGTTGTGGTTTTTGTAGATTCCTCTTACCAGGTTGAATTCCCTTCTGTTCCTAGTTCGCTAAGAGTTTTTTTCCAGCATGAATGTTGGATTTTCACCACACAGAAGCTTTTTATGCATCTGATGAGATGACAGTGTTATTTTTGTCCTTTATTTTATTATTATGGTGTTTTACTTTAATTGATTGGTAGATGTTAAACCAACCTTGCAGTCCTAGGATGAATTCTTGCACTCCTGAGATAATTTGGTTTGCTCATACTTTGTTTATGAGGTTTACATCTAATCATAAGGAGGGATATTTATTATTTAATAGCTTTCTTCTGATTTCCTTGACTTTGATATCAGAGTATTACTGACCTCATTAAAAAGGACACCACCTACAAAAGATGGGAGCCACCAGAGTCATCATGGGGCGTTGTCAGTAGAAAGATTGCATGATATCGAATATTCTTGACAAAACAGAAATAGAATGGACTCTTGAAAGATTTCTACCACATATCATTGAAATGTAAAAAGTGTGAGGGGTGCACTTCTAATTATCTGGAAAAGACTTATATATAAAAGGCCATCTCCCAGTGGGAGGTTGGGGAGGGTAGAGCTCAGTGGCAGAGCACGTGGTTAACATGCAGGAGGTCCTGGGTTCAATCCTCAGCACCTCCATTAAAAAAAAAAAAAAGGCCATCTCCCCATTAAACATAAGTTTAGTTGATCTAAAAGTCTGTATTTTAGAGTTGCTGGGCCTGAATGAAATTTCCTAACATGAATGGTTTTGAAGGCAGCCTAGAACAAAACACTGAATCACATCCTTTGCCTTTCCTGCCCTTTCTCTCAGCACTTTTTTATGTACTGATCATTTTCTTTCTGTTTTATTGACAGAGGAGGAGGGAAGAGATTTGAGCTGTATTGTAGCTTCTCTCGTTCAAGTGATGCTGGACCCCTATTTTAGGACAATTACTGGATTTCAGAGTCTGATACAGAAGGAGTGGGTCATGGCAGGATATCAGTTTCTGGACAGATGCAACCATTTAAAGAGATCAGAGAAAGAGGTAACAAACCCTTAATGCTTAGTGTTAGCCTTTAAATGTGCACAAGATAAAACTTGTCATGTGAAGAGGTGTTCCGTCCAGAAAGAGATGAGGAGGCTTTTTAAATATTGCATTCAGTACATCGTAGCTTCCTTAGTCCAAGACTGACAGATGGATTAGAGTCCCAGGTGATGTACTTATGCAGATTATCATAACTATGTAGGTCAGATTCTAAAGTGTTCCCTATTCAGCTCCTCTGACTGGAAAACCACTTGAAGAAATGCTGCCTTAATTCTTCTGCAAAGCAGACGACGAGCATGTTAAATATCGTGAAAAATCAGTTTTGGAATTTTATCATCTTTTCATAAAATAGGAGTGGAAAGTTTGTGGCAGGGGGCACATGTGTGTACCAGCTGTGGGCCTGGTGATGGTCTCTCCTGTCAGGGCGGTCCCGGGGAGCATGGTTGGACGAGTGGTATCTCGCGTTTACCACAGGCTGTGTCACTGAGGGAACCTCGGCAGCACAGACTTCACTCCTAAATGCGGGGACCCTTGGGGTGCGCCGGGCGAGATGCAGCAGTGTCCCGAGCTGCTGTCCTGGGGCTCTGCCTGCCTCCTGGAGGCCGGTGCTGGCGGTTTCTGAAACGCCGCGAAGTTTTCTGGTGCTGAGCCTGCACGGTCAGCCGAAAGCAATTTCAGAAGTTGTTTTTTGCTGTGGGGATTGTTTTGTTTTGTTTTAAATGTCTAAGGAACTGTTTCCAGGATAGGCTTAAACACGTAGTTTACTGTTCCAGTTCATACAGTGGCACCCGGCCCGCCTGTTTCCCTTGCCCTTTGCGCTGGGCATCCCTGTCCGGCAGTGCAGGCTGTGATGTGCATCCCGGAGCGCAGCTCTTCGGTCCCACCTGGCTCTGTTTACGTCATTCACCTTCCCTTAGCACTGCTTAGGAGCCAGGGGCTCTAGTCAGAGCCGTTGTCTTAGTCATCTCTTCCTTAGCATCAGCGCGAAATTTGGAAATCAGTGTGGACGACAGACATTAAGTGATCCTGTTTCCTTGTGTGTGTGCCAGTCGCCCCTGTTCCTGCTGTTCTTGGACGCCACGTGGCAGCTGTTGGAGCAGTGCCCAGCGGCCTTCGAGTTCTCTGAGGCCTACTTAGCGGTGCTGCACGACAGCACCCGCGTCCCCCTGTTTGGCACCTTCCTGTTCAACTGTCCCCACCAGCGGGTGAAGCAGAGCACGGTAAGTGCGGTGCGGCCGCGGCCACACGGGCTTTTACAGCTTCACGGCGGTAGAGCCGAGGTACGATTAGCCGTGTGTTTAAACTGTGCACCTGGAAACTGTCTGAGCTACCATTTTAAGCTGTAATTTCCGAAGGGATCATTTAAAGATGGATCGAAAGCGAGCAACTTGAACTTGTTTCATTTTTATGGGTGAGCATTTCATGTATTTTTCTCTGATGTTTATTGTTCATAATAAACCAATTTAAAGATGTAGATGGTTTTAACCACCTTAAATGTGGTGCTGTGATATATATGTCTTGGCATGTGGGCTGCCTGGACTGCCCAGCAGTGGGATCCTGTTTGAGGACATTGGTTTCCTGGGTCAGAGTATAGAAGTTGTAGAAAGCAGAGTATTTTTCCTCAAGGGTTCTGTGGAGAAGGAATTTCAGAGATGAAACAAACGTAGGCCTGATACTAGACCAAAATTCTCCACGGGCGCTGTTTACCACTGCCCTTAGGCCGCGTGGCTGTCACTTATGGTGGGACTGTCAGTTTCTAGTCACAGGTTGTTGACCCAGAGGAAGAATCATGACTAAGGAGGGTCTCAAGCCAAACTTGAATGTAGCTTCTGGTTGCCACCAGTGGAACCTTCTGGACCACAAGTTCTGTCTCACCTACATCTGAAATGACAGAAGAGACAGCTCTGTGGGCCCCAAGGAGGCCTTGCTAGGAAGGGGGTGGCCTTCATGGTGAGCCGTAGGGTCCTTGGACCCTGGTCTGGGAAAGCGCAGAGCCTGCCTCCCTCATCTGTAAAGCAGCCCTGCAGCCACAGCAGGGAGAGCGTTCCCCATGCAGATTACCCTGGAGGGGAGTGGTCCAGGATCGTGGGTGTGAAAGGCAGGATGCTCTGGACGCTTCAGGCAATGATTTTATTCAGGCTCCTGCATCAGGGAGAACTCCAGAATGAGGAACGTCCAAGAAAAGGAGGGGGCGGGGGTCACGAGGCAGGTGGGGCAGTTCTGACCCCAGGGGAGCCCGGCGCACAGAGAAACAGTGCTGTCGTCAGGTGCTCTAGATCGGACAGTTGGGAAAGGAAGCTGTCGCAGTATATTCTGTGTTGAGACCAGAGATGGGCTCCGGCGCCTCAGGTCAGGGAGGCTGTCCCTAAAGTAGCGGGTCCGGTGGCTCCTTTCCATTCCTTGTTCACCGGGTCCGGGGTGCAGTGGACGTGTGGCCTGTAGCACTGTGTTTCCTAGTAACGTTTCGTCCTTGCCTTTTTCCTCATTTCCAAAGAAATTCTTGTTCTTTGTGGAAATTTTGGAGCATACTGAATGGGACAGAGCAGAAAGTGAGTCAGTGACTTCCCATCACGCGGAGCCTTGGTGTCGGGATATTTCCTCCAGAGAGCTCATCTGTGGGCACTGACGCGCTAGCCTGCTTTGTCAGTCGGCCAGGACCAGGGTCCCCTCTCCACGTCACTGAGTGGGCCGGTCCTTTCCTCCTCCATGGTGAGGTGGTCACTGTCGCCCCATAGCACTGCGCTGCCTGGGTTTGTTGTGCTGAGAAAACCAGGTCACCAGGGGGCCAGAGGGCCCTCCCGAGAGTGCCGGTCTGGGCCCAGTGCGCGGGCCATGGGGGAGTTGATTCCTACCTGCCTGCTTCTGGGCTGTGGTCCAGTTAGTGGAGGTCACTGTTAAGTATGCCCACTTAGAGAAAGGTGTGAAACAGATGGCAGTGATTTCCATTCAAGGATCGTTCTGCTAATCTACTTAGCATGTTTCCTGTCCAACAGGTAACTGCGTGAATGTGTGATCATGTGCTTAGAAAGTAAAATGCTGCAATAAAAATAACTTTGATGAGGGGAGTGTCTGGGGAGGTAAAACGCACTCCCCTTGTCATGCGGGGGACCCGGTGTGCCCCCGATGAGCGCCAAGATGTCTCCTCTCTGGGAGCAGAGTGTGCTGCTCTAGTGGGATTGCAGTTGCTCTAGTTCAGAAAATTTAATTCATAATAAATGACTGATCAAAAAGGGAATTTATTAGGAGGAAATCTTTGGCATCTTTTCACGAGTGTTCAAATATTTTATTTTGCAGGAATTTGCTATAAGCAAAAATATCCAGTTGGGTGATGAAAAGGGTTTAAAATTTCCCTCAGTTTGGGACTGGTCTCTTCAGTTTACAGCAAAGGATCGCACCCTTTTCCACAACCCCTTGTACATTGGAAAGAGCCCACCTTGTGTCCAGAACGGTTCTGCCAAGTCTTTTAAACAGACAAAGGTAAGTTACAAAAATGCACCAACAGTAAAAACCCAGTGTCTGCTCCCACGTAACCAAAAACATCCTTCTCAGAATAGAGCAGTAGAAATGTAGTCATCTCCCGTGACAGCGCTGCCCCTGGAGCTCTGAGGGGTCGTTCACGCTGTGACGCGGATGCCTGTGCCCTGACCTCCTTGCTGGTGTGTGAGGCCCACGAAGCCCTGGTCATCATCCGGAGTCTGCAGACCGCAGCTCTGAGCCCAGGGCGCACTCCCGAGCTGTCCACTCTGCCCGTCCCTCCTGCAGCCAGCCAGGCCTAGCTTTTTCCTCACCCAGAAATCCTAGCAATTAGCACGTCAGCGAATTGTAGGTGGACCCTGCTTTACTGCCCTTGCTTATTGCACTTTGTAGATACTGCTTTTTTTTTTTTTTTTACAAATTGAAGATTTGTGGCGACTGTGTCGAGTTAGTCTGTTGGCGCCATTTTTCCTGCAGTATTTGCTCACTTCAATGTCTCTGTGTCACATTTTGGTAATTCTCACAATATTTCCAGTTTTTCATGATTATTATATTCTGGTGATCTGTGGTCAGTGATCTTTGATGTTACTATAACAGAAAATAACTCACTGAGGGCTCAGATGACGGTTAGCATTTTTAGCAATAAAGTGTGCTTAAGGTCTGTACATTGTTTTTTAAGACACTTAATAGACTGCATTATATTGGAAATGTAATTTATATATACACTGGGAAACCAAAAAATTGATGTGACTCGCTTCATTGCAGTGTCCGCTTTACTGCAGTGTTCTGGAACCCCACCCCACAGATCCCCGAGGCCCGCCAGTGATGAATAGGCTCTGACCCCTCCCCAAGCGCAGGCTGTCGCGCCAGCAGAGTCAAGGCCTAGGGGTGTCCCACTCCACTGGGGGGCTTGGAATAAGTATCACCAGGGGAGGAACAAAATGATCCTGCAGGTTGAAATTCTACCGGGTTTTCCCAACACTGGGCTTGCGTTTACCGGCACACTGTCCCCGTCTGTGTGGAAGGGGGGCCCCCGGGAAAGTAACCGCGAGCTCTCTCTTCCTGCAGAAGAGCTACAGCTCCACCCTGCGAGGGCTGCCCGCCGCCTTGAAGAACGGCGTCATCGGCGACCAGGCAGCGCTGCCCCGGCGGAACTCCTTCATCCTGAGGGCAAAGCCGGAGCCCGCTGGGCCGGGCCACCCGGGCGACGACCAGGACGGCGGCCTGGACCAGTACTTGCGGGCGTGGCTCTCCCGCCCGGCCGACCTGCACGGCGTCATCCTGCCGCACCTCTCGGGGGCGCACATCAAGCTGTGGAAGCTCTGCTACTTCCGCTGGGTGCCCGAGGCCCAGATCCACCGCGGGGGCGCCATCACCGCCTTCCACAGGCTCTCCCTGCTGGTGGACGAGGTGGACGTGCTGACCAGGACGCTGCGGCAGCACCGGGGCGGCCCGCTGGAGGCCCGCTACGCCGAGCGGGACCAGGGCAGGATGTACTTCCGCGCCCGCGGCCCCCGGGACGCCTCGGCGCCGCCGGACTTCCTCTCCTCCTCGTTTCCCTTTTCCCCCGTGGGCAATCTGTGCAGACGCAGCATTTTAGGAACGCCGTTAAGCAAATTTTTAAGTGGGGCCAAGATATGGTTATCTACTGAGACACTAGCAAATGAAGACTAAGCTGCAGGGTTTCTCTGAGCATTCTGGGGGAGCTGTAAGCATTTTCCTCCATGGTTTTTAGCTAACCCAGGCATCTGGAGCTCTAGTAATTTTATATGTAAGAGTAACAGTTGAAATTTGCACTAATACTTAAAAACATGTTGAATTATGCTTCCTTCACAATATTTTGAAAAGATAGGCATAGATTTTGATATTTACATTCTCTTGCCATCATTCTAGGTCTGGCTTGCTTTAGGTGATTTGCAGGCAGACAGCCCCACGACCTCATTACTGTGATCAAACTAATCAGGTTTTGTCTGCAGCATTTATTTTGTCTCCATCCATTTTTCCAACCACCGACTAAAGGTTCCCTGATCCGTCGGATTAGTAACTCAAAGAAGCAGACATCAGGAAAGTTAAGAAATTAGTATTTCCAAGAAGCATCCAATAAACCCCCAATGGGTGTTAGTAGGTATTTTATTTTTCTGGTCACCTTGTAGTATCTCTAATCGTACTCACCTGAGAGTTGTAACATGTTTTAACACCATAATTTATTTTAGATCACTTTGTTTGGGACCGTAGATCACTGTGTTTTAAAATCATGAGTTTGCTTTTAACTTCATAGGACTAACTTTAAAACGATATGCACTGTGACTTTAAAAGCATTTGTTGTAGCTAGTATAATGAAACTTAAATGTGCCTTTGACATTAAGATGTGAATAACAGAGTTAAATAGAATTTTTTTTTAATTTGGGTGTTAAAAAGAGTCCCGCTGCATGTTGGAGAGAGGCTGTTCACACTAAACTTCATTCTTACTGATAAAGCCACACTTCCCTCTGCAGGTCTCTGGGGACCTGGCGGGCCTGTTGGGGTGGTGGGGAGGGGTGTTGGCATTGGTGTGACAGCATCACTGACACCCCCCCAAAAAAAATGGGCCTCTGTCAGTAGCCCAGTGTGCTCATTTCCCTTGGCGATACTCATGAGGTCAAGGGTCAGGTCACCTGCACAGAAGTCCCTCCTCCCTCAGACAGAGTGCTTCATGCTTAGGCTGGAGAACAGAATCAGTGTCCTTGTCAGTCCTGCCGTCTCAGCACACAGCGAGAGCACCCCGCCCCAGCCTCTGACAGCAGTGTTACGGGGCAGGGGACAGAAGCACACACGGTGTAGTCTTGGTCTGAAAGTCCCTGGCCTTGAAATCGTGTGACGGGAGCCGAGCCAGAGCTGTGGGGCCAGCGCTGAGCCTCTTAGGGCCGTGACGTCCACGACATTCCCCCCCGCCCCCTCACGTCCTGTTTAAAACTGTGTGGCTGTTACTTAGAGTTTCTTAAACTGCCAACTTAAGCTTTTTAAAAAACTTTTATGGTAAAGTGTCTGGTTAGCTAATATCCTTTTCTAAAACAAGTTTTTTCAAAGCGGTGTTTTTTACCTTTATATGTAGCAGATAGCTGTTTCTTTTTGAATTATTTGCTTTTTAAAAATTGATAACTTCTCTGAATTTAAAGGGATGGAAGTTCCTGTACAATGACTTAGGAAATTCATCTTGTGGATAAACCCAGTGTTTTTGCCAACTTGCATAGAAAATAAGGGCTTTTTTCAGTTTATATAAACAGCACCGTTGTCATTAAACATTTTACAGTCCTTGATTGGAAACCAGCTCCAGTCTCCTTCAGACACCACCGCACATCTGCTGCTGAAAGTCTAATAACTTTGCCCTTTTCCACTTGGCTGCTTTTTTATTATTACAAGTTCTAAATTTGTTACTGTTTTGAGGGTTGAGCATTGATTTCTCTATAGCTTTCTTCCCTCACACATTCATTTCAACCCCATTAGTAATTCTTTTTGTTAATTTACAAGTTTAAAAATGATTAGGTACTGTTAATACTGTTTTAAAATAGAAAATGTGCATATTTTTGTATGATAATCAAATGTAGTAAACTACGGTTTTTTTGTTCCACTTTTGCTGAACAGTTGTATCATGATTATTGTGCCAGTTTCTTGTGCATAATATGAAAAACAACTCTTAACAGCCTCGCGTCCTGGCCGCTGCGAAGCTGCTTGGCACCGCTGCTGGCACAGAGGACGTGTGGGGACAGAAGTCCAAGCGTGGTGATGGACGCTGGACCACAGAGCTGGCAACCTGTGCTGACGGAGGGCCACGCCGTGTCAGACAGCTTGGACTTTCTAGGGTCGAACTTAAAGATGTAGTGTCTTAATTGTTGTTTTTTGATGAAAACCAGTCTTAAAAACCAAAACTGTCTAACTTTATCTAAGAACGTGTATTAATTTCTGCTAACAGAGGGGGAGCACTATGCATCACGTCCTTCCACAAAGTCTGCTTGGCTGTAGCAGTAACCACGAGTAGATCAAACCTGATTTTGAGAGAAAACTAAAACCTTTGTGCCTCAAATGGATGATGACTTGCGTGAAAGCAGGATGAGCAGGAAGATGAGTGACCTTGTTCAGCAGTGATGAGTGTGGAGGAAACCTTGACTGCTAATAAAGCGTCCCCAGAAGCTGCCCGCCTCAGTTCTCAATGCGAGTATGACAGCACCTGCGAGAACACAGCGATTCCAGAAGCCAAGGTGTGTCCTTCCAGCTGCACTCGTGTGTCAGCCGCCCCACGGTGCGCCCGCCCTACGAGGAGGGCGTGCTCAGTAACACGTTAACATCAGTTCCCGACCACATGGGTCAGTGGACCAGCCCCTAGGGCGTCCCCCCACTCAGTAAGTTCCACAGCTGGGGCACCTCATGTCCTTAAGAAGGCCTCAGAGCCAGTCTCTGGAGAGGGCTCCTGGGCCTGCCGTCCTGGTGACTTGCCTTCCCTCCTCGTCCCTCCCCGGCCCACGGCTCCACCTGCAGCGACCAGCAGCCCTGTCCAGTCACGGTCTCCCTGCAGACCTGTTCCAGGCCCCCAGGGTGAGGCAAGTATCACAGCAGAACAAGCCACACGAAGCTTTTCTTTCCCCAGTGCATATAAAAGCCCGACTTCCGACATACGGCAGTCTGTTCAGCGTGCAGGAGCTTTATGTCCAAAAGAAGTCTAACTACCTTAATTTAAAAACACTTTCTCGCTAAAATAGACTGTCATCTGAGCCTTCAGAAAGTGGTGGTTGTAACATCCAAGATCACAGATCGCCATAACAATATAATAGTAATTTAGAAGTTTGAAACACTGTGAGAATTATTGGACTGTGACACCGGGACATGAAGCGAGCAGGCACTGAAGGAGGGGTGCCCGCAGACAGGCTCCACCCTGGGCGCCACGAGCCTCGACTGAAAAATGCAGTCTCTGCAAAGCACAGCGAAGCAAAGCACCGTAAACTGTCCAGGAAACTGCCTCTAGTCACTGGGGGTGTTCCCAGGGAGAAGGACGGAAAGGGACAATGGCCTGTGATGAATATGGTGCCTCGCTGTGGTGACGTGGGCCTGGTTAGGAAGAGCACGTCCTGACAGAAATAATGAGGAACTTAATGAGAATCTGTTTCTTAATCCCTAAAGAAATCAGAATTTCAACTGTTTATGCCCTTCTATAATCATAAAAACCAAGAATTTCAACAGCCATTTAGATGGGTAAGGGCAGCACAGAAAAACTTAGGTAAATTCAGGAAAATCTGTTTTCAATACACTTTTTAGAAAGAAAAAGTGTATGTTCCTTTTATAAAAGACCCAAAGCTGTGAATCATCTCGTTTTGGGGGGTGGTTTTCTGGCTTTCCTGTAAATATAATAATATACATGCATCCAGCTCCTAAAAGTGGCCACCAAGGCTTTGACCTTTTCAAAAGTTCATTACCTGGAATGAGTATTCAAGCCAATACCAAGTTTTGTGGCATATGGACACTGCACAGTGATGCGTCATTAAACTACCAGGTTTATTACGACAACAAACAGCATTGAGTGAAATGTAGTAACACTTTTGAAGACCTCAGGTCCGTGTACAAGCAGACAGCCCCAAGCCCACGGCCCTCAGTCAGGGCCCCTGCTCTTCGCTCCGACTGCAACCACGTGGCAGACCTCGACGTCGGCCCCCAGCTTCCGCAGCTCGTCCAGCCAGATCATCTGCTTCTGCGACAGACGGTCGTTGGGGCCTTTGACTTCCACCAGCTGGGAGATGAGTTTTAAAGTTACTAGCATCTTACTGAGACGGAAGAGCCATGCAGAGAAGCTACAGGAGTTTTCACTGACCACTGTTTAAGTGACTCATACTACTGCACAGCTGTGCTGATGATACACATAAAACAACTACAGACATACATGAAATCCATAGAAACTTTCATATTCTGTAGAAACTAGACAGTTCTTCCCAGAGAATTAGTAAATTGATTCTTAATACAGCAGCTGAAATATAGTTTTAAAGCATGCGGTGGATTGTTACTCCTGCTGAAAACCCTTCAATTACTTTCTGTTGCGTCTGCAATTAAGTCCAAACGACTTGCCGTGACCTACAAACCTGCATCACCCGGCCCCTGCCAGCCACACCAAAGCCACCTCGGTTCCTGAGACAGACGACTTCCACCCAGCCAGAAGGGCCTCCCCTCTGCCTGGGATGTCTCTCCCTCCATCCCGTGTCTGATGACTCGTCCTTCAATGTCAGCTTAAATTCATTCACCTCTAGGTGGGCCCCTTCCTGTGCACTTCTGTCAGGGTGTTTATCATAAGATAGAACCGCTCATTACGTATCAGCTCCAGGAAAGCAGGGACTGTCAGTTCTGTCCACTGCAGATTACAGAGATTCAAACATACCAGTAGAAACTCCAAAATGAAGTATAGAACAAAATATTTAATAAATGAGCATTTCAGCAGTCTAATAGGAGTTTAGAGTCCCCAAAGAGAAGAGAAAAACATTTGAAGAAATAATGGCCAAAAAAATTTCAAATTTGATGGAAACTATAAACCCTAAGATCCAAGAAGCTCAATGAATGCCAAGCACAGAACCATAAAGAACACTACACTGAGAAACGTCATAATTCAGCTGTGTAATCAGTGGGAAAAGGAGCATCTTCAAAGCAGCCAGAATTTTTAAAAGCCAGAGAGGAAAGACTGCAGATTTCTCATTGGAAGCAATGCCAGCTAGATGACAGTGGACCAGTATCTTCAGGTACTGGGGGAAAATGTCAACAATTCTTGGTCCAGAGGAAGTATCTTTCAAAGACAGACTTAAAAGTCTTACAGTATAGGGGAGAAGGTATACCTCAAGTGGTAGAGCACATGCTTAGCATGCACGAGGTCCTGGGTTCAGTCCCCAGTACCTTCTTTAAAAATAAATAAACCTAGTTACTCCCCCAAGATAAAAAATAATTAAGGAATACAATAATAAAGTATTTTTTTTTAGTCTTACAATATATAAAACCTAAATAATTCATTACTAGCAGACTTCCATTTCAAGAACTGTTAAGGAAGTTCTTCAATCAGGAAGAGTGACAATACATGGAACTCTAGATCTATGTAAAGGAATAACAAATGTCACTCTTTGTACTGACATGAGTAAATATACAGACTCATTAGTCAACTGCAGAAAGCAAATATAATTGTGTTGCAGAGTTGGTAACAGTCAAGGTATAATGTACACACAGCACAAAGTCTGGGAGAGGAGACATAAAAATGCACTGTTGTAAAGGTTCTCTGTATTACACATGTACTAGCACAACATCACTTAAAGGTGGATGAGATACACACTGTAAACACCAATGCAACTGCTTGAAACATAGCAAAGAGTTATAGCTAACAAGCCAACAAAGGGACAAAACACAGTCTTTAAAAAAAAAAAAGGCAGAGAAAATAAGAGCTGAGATAAATAAACCACCATCAAGGTGGTAGGTTTGAAGCCAGACATGGATACCATCACATTACATGTAAATGTTCCAAATACCCAATTAAGAGGCAAAGGTGTCACATTAGATTAAAAAGTAAGACTCAGATATATGCTGCCTACGAGAGTGTAACTCACACATTAATATAAAGGTAAAAGAAGTTAAAAAGTAAAAAAAAAAAAAAAAGTATTACATTAACACTAACCAACCCAAAGTGGAGTGGCTATAAATTAGTATCAGTCGATTTCAGAGCAAAGAACATCCCCAGGAATAAAGGAAGGTCATTTCATACTGAGATTGAGTTCGATTCATCAGGGAGACGTGACAATCCTGAAAGTCTATACACTGAATAAGAGAGCTTCACAGTGGATGAAGCAAATGCTGACAGAACCACAGAGAGAAAGACTCAAATCCACAAGCGCAGAGACATCCTGTGACACCAGAAGCCTGACCCACTGGAGAACAGATCAGCTGGACTCTATCCAAATGTAAAACTTCCACTCTTCAGAAGGTACTAGTTAGACAGTGAGATGGCAAGTCACAGACTGGATGAGACAGATGTGATGAACTGGTACTCAGAGCTCAGTCACACGGGAACCGCCAGCCTGCGCGGGGCAAAGGGTGAGACCAGGGTGAGGCTGGCGCGAGCCGGCCTACAGCGCCAGGAGGTGCTCACTCGGGGAGAACACAGCCCCCGACCATCCTGGCCCCTGGCGTTCACGCCCCAAGGCGGTCCCTCCCTCTAAGTGGGGCCGGACCCAGGGCCTCGCTCTAACAGCAGACACAGCGGAGGTGGCGGCGGTGCCTCTGAGGCCGGGGGCTGAGGGGCTGACTTCTGTGGGACTCACACCCGCTCTGCTCTCTCACCTGCCCTGGTGAGACCAGCCACCTGGCGGAGCGGCCCACACGCCAGCACTCAGCCCAGGGCCCTGGCCCTCTGTCCAGGGGCTCTCAAGTTCAGTCTTGCCAACAACCATGCAAGAAATGCCTAGACCGTGGCCTCTGATTAAGTTCATCATAAAACTACACAGGTGAGTTTCCATTCCAGCTCAACTGACCTTACAGCAGTGACTCCGGGAGTTCCACACCACCAGGTCGGGCAGGCCCCCTCGGCAGTGTCGCAAGTCTGTGGCGAGTCGCCGGCACACACCGCTGAGGACGGGGCCCCCTAGGCAGGAAACCAGGTCCTGAACACAAGACACAGGGACAGTCAGCCACTCCATCCTTCCCGGGATCAGAGACGAGGAGACTGGCGCATCAGTCGACAGAAACAGAGGCTGAGGCCCCGGGGCGGTTCGTCTGCCGCTGCGGGGACTCCGGAGCTGCCAGCTGCCGTGCCCCAGCCAGCTTGGGGCTGCCAGTCTCCCCGTGCTGCTGCCCAGTCGGGAAGCTCCCAGGGGCAGCCAAGGAAGAGGGAATTCGGAGGAAACAGGATGGGATGGTGCTGACCACAGAGCCGCCAGTCACACGGACAGGGACGGTGTCCTCCCTCCGGGGACCACAGGTCAGGAGAAGGGAAGCCACCAACTACATGGCACAGGTTTGTGCCTGTTTACTGATCCCGTCAGTGACGGAGGCACGCGGGCCGGGGGACCAGACACATGCACACACATGCCCCCGTGTCTGTGCACTGTGCACGCAGGTGTGTGCATGAGGAGCTACTACTTTCTGACCGAATCCAGCCTGCACAGTTTCACCTGGGCTTGCTGAAGAGAAGCGAAGCGGTCCCAGCTGACAACGGAAGCCGCCCTGCCCTCCTGGGCCTGCCACGCGGCCGCCACCCAGGCCCGCAGGCTCTCAGCCGGGGCGCTGTGAATCTGCTGCAGCCTGGCCTCGACGGCTGGTGCCCTGCTCGCGAAGAAACCATCGGTGCACAGGTCCAGGGGGCCCGCCTGTGCAAGGGAGAATGAGCTGTCACCCCGGGGCCTGGAGGGGCCTGTCCGGGGCAGTCAGAACACTCAAGACCCACCCGATTTAGAAACTGGCCAACCTGATTAAGTAGACGCATTCTTTTCTCACGAGATATGTACAAATTGCAGAAGTCATCTAACACAAAAGCACTGATTATACTGGTTTTTTCAGAGTAGTAGCCTGCAGAAAGAGCTTTTAGTTTACTTGGAAGTCCCAGCAGGGACACGTGAGATGGACGTGGGGGCGCCGGGCCCTGACAGATGAGCCCTGAAGGACTTACACTAGACATTTCAGATGGGACGACTGCAGTGAAACAGGCTTGAAGTTTAAAACTTAACATACATTTAAAATTCTATGAATCAGACTTTAAAATTAAAAGCTACTCTTATGGGAATTGGCACCACAATCTCTAAGACTGTGACAAGGGGCAGGTTTCTGATGCCGCAGACATGGGGCACGCAGGTGGGTGAGCCACCCAAGTGCAGGAGCCACTGGTGGCCTGGAAACGTGGCTTGCTGACCTGGTAGGCGTTTCTGAAGACGTCTGGTACCCCGTCCATGAAGATGACGTCCCACAGGAGGAGGCCATACAGCGTGCTGAAGGTGGACCCCTCCCCGTGGATCCCTGAAACGGTCACACACACAGAAGGAAAATCAACTGTTAGTTTTTTAACCACCACCGTGCCCCACTGCCTACTTAATGTGAAGAAAGTAACAGGAATATTTTAAACTCAAGTGCAAACAGTGTTTTCGTGCCGTCCCCAGCTCATTGCTTTTACATTATACGCTTATACGCAGAAGCCTTGTATAAGGGCACAGATCTTAGTAAGCATGGGAAAATTCAAATGCACGTTTCAGAGCCACAGAGCAGCAGTTCTCAAACTAGTGGAAAAATCTAAGGAACGAGTTTAAAACTACATAAAAGGAGACTGTCCCTCTGGCTTTGGGGGTTCAACCCCAGACGGGTGGGGAGTCCCTTGAGGAGCTCTGATGCAGGGGCCCCTGGCCCCACTTGAAAAGGCTTCCGGGAAGGGGTACAACAGAGGAAGCCGAGCATCTGGGAGCCTGTGCCCTCTGACCGCCAGGTTGGTCCCTGTTCCCCTCATGCACCCAGCACTCCTCCACTTTGGACTGAACACCGCACCACGTTTCTACACCTCAGGGTTTTAGAGACCGTCCACGTCAGGGACAACCTCGTTCAGACCCCCTCCCCACACCGCATCCAAACCACATCAACCAGGTAGTGACCTCAGACAGGCCCGTCTCGGACCCCAGGACACCTGAATGTCATGGCAGGGTCAGGAGGGGACATGGCACAGCACGCAGACCTGCCACCCAGAGCCTGTCCTGCTCAGCCTTTCTCCCCGCCTGACCCCGCAGCCCCTAAGCAGGCTGGCGGGGCGCTCCTCTGGCTTCTGGACACAGGTCAGGTGCAGCACAGGACGAGGGAGCAGAGCGCAGGCACCAGTGCCGTGTCCCAGCACAGCTGAGACAGCCAGAGCCACAGGCAGGAGCCGCGTGCAGGGCCCAGTCCCCTGGGCTGTCCCCCAGCTGAGGCTGCACTGTGCTGTCACCCCTCCCACGTCCATTGGCTCCGCCCCACATCCTTGCTCCCCATCTCTGTGACTCAAAGGAACAGCGGGACCCACTCAGGCCTCGTCCCCTGCAGAGCCACTAGTCACAGGGACAGGGACGGTGTCCTCCCTCCAGGGAGGGAGGGCACTGGAATCCCAGGGGTGGCCTGACCAAGGTGACGCTGGGACAGGACCTGCCGTCTGCTTTCTGCCCAGGAGCATGTCCAGTCAGGGACACTGGACGTGAGCATCCCCAGACCTAAGCAGTCTGGTGAGCGTCGTGCTGTGGGGTCGAATCATGTTGCAGGAGACCCTTCTGAGTAACGGAGAAACCAACTCCCCTGAGGGGCCTGAGGCCACCCCTCACCCACCCTCCCCCAGACCAAAGGCCGACAGCAGGGTCCCGCTGTGCCCGGGCAGACACTGTAATAAAGAAACATACACCTTATATAAAAAATTCACATTCCGGAATCGTCTGCCCGCCTCTCGAGCTCAAGGCTAAACTGAAGCATTTCACTGTGCTCGGCTCCCAGCCCGTCTGCCACCTACCAAGGGGACAGGGCACCAACTGCCCACGTGGGCCTGAGCCTTCACTCCCCGATTTTGTTTCTAACCTTCGGGGTCTGTGGCATCTATGTCTCCACTGGCGCTTGCATCTCCTCCCCCAGAGCATCTCCCTCCCGTGTAAGGGACAGAGGCATCCCGCAGATTCACCTGAACCTTTACTTGAACACTCAGCAGACAGACACCCGTCCTGCAGTGGCATTTTGTGATCCTCGCTTATCTGAGTGGGCACACTACACGCCAGTGAAATCATGTCCTGATTTTCATGTATGTGACAAGATCTGAGTGACCTTCAACCTAGAGACCCCTCAGCACAGACACAGGGAATCCTGTCTGGACGCAAGGACAGAATGGAGGGCCCCTCGGAAGTGACCATGGGAGCCAACGTCCGGGTTGGCTTCCAACATCTGGGGGACAGGGCAGTGCACAGGGGAGGCACTGGCATGGCTACTGGCTCCCTCCAGGTGCGGCTCTGGGACGGTGCCCCAGGTGGTGGGAGGGGAGCTGGAGGCTGCTCCCGCCACTAAGAGGGGACGCAGGGGACAAAGGCTCTGGGAGGAAGCAAGGACACAGGATTTGGGGTCCAAGCTCCTCACGGCTGGCATGCGAAGCCCCTCCTGGGCCAGGGACGTTGGTTAAGTTCTCTGAGGTTCCAAGCGTGTCTGACAGCTACGGCCGGTCTCTGACCACTTCACCTTTCCCCCAAGTAGCAGGGACCCCGAGTGCCTTCACTGGCCCTCCTCCCACTCCACAGCTGCTGACGAGAGGCTCCCAATTCTCGGAACTGGGCAGGATTAATCCTCACTCAGGCTCTACATGTTTCAGAAAATGGCCTTGGAATGAAGCCTACAGAGTCCAAAACAGAAAGGCTGCCAAGCAGCCCAGAAAGAGGGCTGGGGGCACCTGTCCGGTCCCTCTGCGTGTCTGCCCGACGCACAGAAAGATCTCACCAGTGGCTCAAGGAACCAAGTCCCCCTCAACCCCAGAGCTGCAGCCCTCACATGCACACACCTGCACACAGGCACACACGCTCCTCTCCTGGCAATAAAAAGAAACCAAAGGGCAACAGGCAGAGAGCAGCCTGGCTCAGTAGTAACAAGTGACATCTCTCTCAGGGGTTCACATCCAGCAGAGGAGCCACCGTTTACTATGAGGTCCCAGGTCCCAAAAGACCCGCCGAAAAGACAGGTGGAGCAGGAGGGGCGAGGGGGCCGCCACCCGGTTCTTGGGGAGAAAGTTGGAGACAGCTCCGACCCTGACTGATTCTCCTCCCACGCGTGGGATGGAGAGCTCACTCCACAAGGAACTCAAATCACTGGTCCTTCAACACCTGCCCTGCCCCGGTGCCACGTCACCCCGGGACCTGGTCCCCTTCCACAGGGAGCCGGGCCCGGCTCCCACCTTCTCTAACGGGCTGGGTTATCCAGCAGCATCTCGTCCTCCGCCCTTTCCTGCCCTCCCTCCTGGCATAACATGAGCTCCCTGAGAGCAAACCCGGCCTTGCTGGGTCCCGATATCCCTCCCAGGCATCAGGCTGGACAGCGGGCACAGGGAGGGAGGCGGGCAGCAGGGCTCTTTCCCACACCCTCCCAGGCCAGCAGCATCTCCCGCAGGGACAGGACAGGGCCTCGGCACCACCCCTGCAGACAACCACCACACGATGACCGGGCGACAGGGAGTGCCTTACCCTGGTCGAAGCCGCAGCATCTGTAATGGGCCAGCGCCAGCTCCTCCACGGAGCACAGCACCGCAGCGGGGGCGGCCCCCCCGGCCTCCATCACGAAGATGGACTTGCCCATCCCGTGCTGCGGGCACAGCCGGCCTGTGATGGTCACCTAGATGGTAGCCGGAGAACGTCCATCAGCCTCTCTTCAGCTTCAGCCCCTGCAAACCCCTCCCTGGTGTCCTGGGGACACACTGTCCTACGCTCCCCACACGGCCACCCATTCATAGCAGAGTGCAGGGCCATGTGACCCACATTCTGGTGCCTGTGAGGACGCAGGTAGGTCACTTGCCCGGCTCAGAGCTGCTCTCCAGGGTCCTGACCGAGCAGATGGGCCTGGCAAAGACCAGGAGCTACTGACTCAGAAGTTTAGAGTCACCACCCTGCTCCGGAGGGAACCACCCCCAGCCAGCCAGCCCCCCAGGCAGGAGATGCGGGTGTGAGAACAGGTCATCGTAGGTCCCCCTGCACGATAGGTGGGAGTGACTCCCACGTCTATGAGAAAGTGGGCACTCAAACCTGTACTTAGGCTGTTTCCACTCAGGAAAACCCTGCAAACGCATCTGAAGGGCCCGGAGAGCATCGACTTACGTGCCTGACGTCCTCCACGGTCATCTCTGGAAGCTGACGGAGGAGGTGCCTGTACTTCTGGCAGCTCGGGGACTCCCGCAGTCGCGCAGCTCTCTGACATAGTGACAGACGGTGTCCCGTTCTCACGTCCGGGTCCGCCAGCCCTTCCGCGATGCACCTGATAGCCTGGCAGAGAGCACGGTCCCCATCAGACTCCCGTCATTTCATGTGACAGGAAACCCTGCCGTTAATTAACTGTTCATCTTGCTAATTAGCAATGGGTTGAGCCGCACTCCAGAGACGTCCCCGTGGGTCTCATGCTGGCACTTTTCATGCAGAGACAAGCACAGAGCCGACTGCAAAGGTCTGCAGCACAGGCGGCCGAGCTCCCAACACTGACTTCTGCTCATGCACGTGGATGTGGCTGACCCCAGCTGCCCCGCCCTCAGAACACAGGGGTAGTCTGGGATGCCTGGGCCAGGGAGATGGGGGAGAGACCCGGCAAGGGGTTCCCGGGGGCCACTTGGGGGCTCGGGATGCAGAGGGTGAGCGTCTGCAGGGCACGGTCCAGGCTCCCACCACCGCCCAGTCCCAGGTGAGTCTCACGTGCAGGCAGGAACCACAGAGTTGTTCCAGACGCCTCACTTACAGAGAGAAGAATCTTAGGTTTGAAGGGGTTATGTGTTTTCTAAGGTTACTCAAAGTTGGACAAATAAACAAAATACTGAAAACTACAATGAGATACCACCTCACACAGCCTAGGATGACTGCAGTCAGAAAAATGGGAAACAACACATGCTGGCAAGGGTCAGGGAGAAACTGGAACCCTCATGCACAGCTGGCAGCAACGTAAAAATGGTTCAAATATTGGGAAAGACACTTTGGCAGTTCCTCAAAAAGTGGAATCTCAGAAACGGAGGGCAGGGTTTTGACTGTGTGGGGGCGGGGAGGGCACCCCTAACCCCCGAGTTGTGCAGGGGTCACCTATATAACCAATGCCACTGAACTCTACGCCCAGAGATAGTTAAAATGGCAAGTTTGATTTGTTACATATACGCTTCCTACAATAACAAAATGAAGAGTTAAAAAAACCTCTGAAAATCAGTAAGGATCAGGCCATCGGGAGTGGCGCGGTCAAGAGGACAGGGGCAGAGGGAACGACTCCCCTGCCGGCGGTGCTGTGAGCCCCGCGGGGGCCGGGCCAGCGCAGCGAGTGATGGCCCCAGGCAGCTGGATCCAGCAGGCCTGAGCCTCTGCTGGCGGGAGCCCTCCCTGGAGAGAAGGAAGGGAAGGGTAAGGAGATGACAAAGATGATGAGCGTGGCCAGGAAGGTCTTTGGGAAAAGGTTACAAGGAACTAGGATTTTCCATCAGTCTCAAAAATCCCCTCTGGGAGCGAACGCGCCTGTCAGCAGATCTGTGAACGAGGGGGACATCTATAAATTCTTCAGAACCTTGACTTCAACGGAGGAAATGGACAGCATGAACACACCCTCTCTGCACGTGGGTGAGGGGCCCCCATGGGGCGGAGGCTCCACGCCTGCCTCCGGGAGAGAAAACAGCCCTCACTGGCTGGAGACCTCCAGGAAACAAGGCACCTTTCAGTTTAGGGCAGTGAAAAGAGCGTGTCACCTTCCACACCCATGGTCAGTTTTTCCGCCACTACATCACCCTGATTCACTGAACGCGCCACTGAGAAAAACAAAGCTCCCAGAGACACAGTGCCCTCTGTGCAGCACCAACGCCAGGCTGGCAGGGAGCTGCTGGACCGTGGGTGGCTGCACAAAGAGCCCCTGTGGCCTCATTGCGGGGGCCCGCCTGGCTTGGCCCCCCAGATCCCTGCATGGAGAACCCCAGGCCAGGAGGGGAGTTTCCCAGTGGGAAAGAGCATCCTTCATCCACCTTTCCACCAGGAGGCCCTGAGCAATGAGGGAACAAGTCCACCACTTCCAAAGAGAAAGCGCCTTCCCTGGAAGTGCCTGCCTGGAGGCGGAGACGTCTGGGGCTCAGCTCCCTTAACTGCTAGAACCTTCACTCCCGAGTCCCCACCTGTCCGCCAACCATGGGGAGAGGAGACAGGAGCCTCCTGCCCCGCTGGAACGCTGGTGTTCACACCCTGCTGTGTCTTCTGGGGTTGGGAAGACATGGACAAAGCAGAATGTCTAAAAACCAACATTCTAATCACATTGAGGTTTTTAAGGTATTAACAGTTTGCTGTATTTTTTAAATTTATGCAAAACTGAGACAAGGCGGATCTCGCTGCTGAGTACCGGCTCCGGGCGCTTCAGGTGCTGGTGTAAGTTGAGAGCCAGTCGGTCCCACCACCGGCCTCTGCTGTCGGGACAGTACACCCTCTGGGACAAGAGGTTTTCAAGCTCCTGGACGGCTTCCTGTTGCAACAACAACAAAGGAAGCTCATTAGACTCCTGCACACCAAGAACTGTAATTACACAGAGTAGTCAGTAAAACCAGGGAAGCACATTTACGAAGCATTCCTTTCCATTTTAATGAGGCCATGGCCCAGGACGGACAGGCAGGGCCCTGGGAGGTCCCTCTACAGTGGCCCGAGCTCCCTGAGGTGCCCTGGGGTCTCCCAGGCCGCCTGGCACAGATGGAGACCTGTGAACACTGCAAAGCCGTCTCTGCAAAGCAGGTGAGCGGTGCAGGCCGCGCAGGGGCTGGTCCTGGGCAGGAGCCCACATGTTCCTGGGCACCCTGCCGGGCCCAGAGCCAACGCCTGGAGGAACCGGGGAGGGAGCAGGACAGTAATGGGGGGGTCTTCATCCAAACACGCCACCGTAACAGGGAGACCTTCCAGCCTGGCTCTGCACACAAACTGGTCACGCTTTACTGTCATCTTCTGTGGTTCAGAAAAATGCACAGACCCTCCTATACACACATGGAAGTTCACACAGTCCCCGAAGCCAATCTCATGGGTCCCCTTGGGGGTTCAGGTCTGGGTCCCCTTGGGGGTTCAGGTCCTGGACCCCTCTGTCTATCTCCCCAGCCGTGCAGCAGGCGGGACAGCAGGTCCTCATTGCGCTGCAGCATGCTGACCGGACACGCAGGAAAGCGAGGGCCAGGCTGGCCCCTCCTCAGCTGGTCTCCAATCCATCAGGAACAGCCGGGGGCGTGGCCTGTGGGCTCACCTGGTACCTGTGAAGTCTCTGCAGAATTTCCACAGTTCGGGACAAAATCCTGGTATAAACCCAGCCAACTGTGAAACATCGGAGAAAGAGCGGTAAACGCTCGTGGTACCTGAAACAAAGGTGGACACCAGCAGTTCAGGGATTTGGTGTATGTGTCGTAAGACAATCGTGAGACATGACAGAGTGGACTGAATTCCTCCCTTTTAAGAAGACACATTCAAAATGCTGCCTGTTGTGGACAATTTCCTCACCTCAAATCTCTGTTCTTACAGCCTCCTGCCACTTCTGCAGTCACCCAGACAGGGGCGGGAACCAAGAAGTCGGCAAACACCAGACCTCAGGCCAGACGCAGCCCTGCAACCTGATTTTATATGAACTAAAACAATTCCCACACTTCTAAATGGTTAAAATAGTCAAAAGGAGAAAAACAGTCTGTGGCATGTGAAAGCTACATGAAACTCACATCTCCGTGTCCAGGAATTCCCGTGCACTGGAACAGAGCCCCGCCCACTGGCTCGGGGAGGGAGGGGGGCTGGGGGCCACGGCTGCTTCCACATCAGGATGAGTGGACGGACAGACGGACAGCCAAGCTGACCCACAGGCCCTTCAAGGAAGGAGTCCACCAACCTCTGTCCTGTAGTAACCTAACTTCCTGGCTGTGGGTTCTTTTTTTTCTTCATGAGGAAAATCACCACTTGTTTCAACCACTTGTTTTGCCATTTGGTCTGAGAAACGTTAACAAATTTATCTAAAAGATCTTAAGAAAATCCCCCAATGTGCACGCAAGTCATGGGCAGTAAGTCTACCCTGGTTATCTCATTTCTAGAAAGGCCTTTAAGTAAATGGCTCAAGTTTGTCTGAATTACACCCAAGCAAAATATGGACAAAATATTCAGTTATTTTCTCTCACCAGTAAAGGCCATTTTCCTGGCTATGGCTTTTAAGTCCATATTCCTTCCATGCAGACTTTTGTCTTAAGTTTTTTTTGGAGATATTTAATACTACTCATTTTTCTCATCACTATGTAACAAGAAAGGGAAAACTTTCTTACCCATACAGAATAAGTTGAACCTTTATTAAACCAAACATATGTGCTGTGTACTTGCACTTTTGCAGTAAACGTTCAATTCTGTTTCCTTTTTCAGAAGAACACCCGCTTGAATTTCCACTGGATGGACACACCCAGCACCCTCCCTGCTGCTGGGTCCCCCCGTGTAAATTCACTGACCGCTGGGAGGTACATAAAAGTCACTCCAGACCTTCAGACCCCCTGCCATCACACACGGCACCCGGGCTCCGTGGGAAGCAGGCAGCAAGTTCGACTCCACGTGCTGGTTGGACCACAGAACAAAAGGCACATGATCTTCCCTGAGAAAACTACCCAAAGTGGTCAGAACAGCTCAGTCAATCAGGAAATTGGACATGGGTGTGAGAACAGCCTCACCTCAGGGAAGGATGGTTCTTCAGTCGGTCCCAGTCCCGCTGTGCAACCTGGGAGAGCTCCCTGGCCTCCTCCCAGGCCCCGCGGGCCATGGCGGCGGCGATGTCACTCAGCGCGTGCACAGCTGTGGCATACCTGCGGGAGAGCACGCGCCCCGTTTCCCATGTGGACCGGCGCGGACATGGAGAGTTCCACATCCTCCCCATCACATCCAATTCCGAAGGGTGAAAGTGTGCTTTGGGAGACGTGAGGGTCTAATTCTATCTGAGAAATCATTTGAAGAATTCATCCAGGCCACTTGACCAGACAGAAAGACATTCACACATCCTATGACATAAGGAATGGAACACGGGCCAGCTCTTCCTTTCTGACTTTTACCCATTCCTTCATTCCTTCAACAGTTTGACAGCAAGAATGTCACCAGATGACTGACTTCAGAACTACACAAATGTAGATCTGGTGCTTTAATCACTCAGTTAGAGGGAGCCAGAGGGATGCTGCCCAGGCTGAGGATTATGTGGGATTTTCAAAAATGACTTCAGGGACACTCCTGGGGAGATGGCAGTGCTGAAATGTCATGAAACCACTTAACTGAAGAAAGACTGCTTCTCACTACATCGTTAGACGCCAAGAACAAAGACCTCTGCCCAGTGATTCGATCACACTTCAAGCACACGGTCCTTGTGTTCTGGACTCACACTTAGAAGAAAAAGCACAGAACAAATACCACTAAATAAGAGGAAAACAAGCTGCCTCTACACGCGAAAACCTGCTCGTGGAGGCTTCGATCTAGGTCTCTCGCAACACGTGACTGAATGAATCTAAGGTGGATAAGAAGACAGAACCCCATAGGGAGAGGCTCCTGGAGGCCAGCCGGGCCCACTGGAGCCCCCCCACCCAGCCCCCCCACCGTCAGGAGCGTTAGCCCAACCCCCCACCGGCACCCGGCCTTGCAGCCCTAACCCAGCCCCCTGTCAGGAGCCCGTGGAGACCAGCGCCATCCCTGTCACGCCTCATCTTCCCGAGACCTCCGTCTCCAGCAGCACAGTCACCAACCCCCCCAACGCTAACTGGAACCGCCAAGCCAGGAGCAGCGTCCCTTCCACACCCCGACCTCTGGCCCCTGTCCCCAGCCTTCTTTCAACCTGGCTGAGAACACGGCCCCCCTGCTGCCCGCTCGGTGGGGACGGCTCTTCTCACTCCAGGAGAGACAGATGGAGTCTTCCTTCCTTCCCATGGCTGCTTCCAGACCACCCTGCCCTCCCTGAAAGGCCCCGCCCCTCAGAAGCCCAAGCCTCCTCTGTGCAGGCTGCCGGTGGTCCCTGCCTTGCTCTCCATGATGACAGCATCTGCGAGGGTGAGAAGCAAGTGGTTCCCCCACCTCCTCACGGATGACCACGTGCCTGGGCCATGCAGACCTTCTGTCCCCAATGGACTGCATCCCCCTCAAGACCCTGCCTTCAAGCATCTTGTCCACTGATCACCCCTGCCACTATGTCCAGCTTGCTCACTGCAGGCTGCAACTCCCCCTTCACTAGGACCCTGACCTGGGGGCCAGCCTCACCACGCCCACTGCCCCAACTACGAGCACCTCCCGGCCTGTGGGCCCACGGACCCCACCCAGGGCAAGCAGTCCCCGCTCCTCGGCGAACAAACATTAGCCATCAGTCCCACCCTGGACCCAGCTCCCTGAATCGTGCTGAAGCAGGAAGATGATGGGACAGGCTGACTACATACACTTGAACTCGAGACCAGATTCAAATGAGCACTTGCCGCCATACTTGGGACCAGCCCCGAGGGGCTGGGACCCAAACCTCCCAGGTTAAGTCAGCCTTCCTGCAGCATCTCCTGCTGTCCCCGCCCCTTAGTCCACGGGATGCCCTTGTAACATGTGCAACAGACTACTCACCTGCATAAACCCCTCCAATGGCTCCCCACTCTCAAAGCATCACTCAGTCAGCTCACTAGGGCCCTGAGGCTGAGTGTCCCTGGCCCGCATTCCTGTCCACCTCCCCCTTCACTGTTGCCCCCAGGGCTCTCCCAATCCCTCCAGCTGGCAGCCGTGTCCTGCCCCCGGGCCTGCGCATGCACCCCTACAGAGCCTGGACACGGGCACCTAGACTGCGGGACCAGCACCTCATTCTCAGGCCTCAGCCCAAATGTCGCCTCCCCAGGGACCCTCGGCCTCAACCTCCACAGTAGAACTTCTCCAGCCTGCCCACGGTTACCAGATGATTCTGTATTTGCCAGCTCCCCAGTAAGACATACTCCCAGGGTGGCAAAGACCCTCTGTTCCTGCTGCAACTCCACCACCCAGGCAGGTACTCAACACTTAACCCCTGTGCACTGAACACATGAGAGAACAGAAGAGAAAGGACAAATGAATCAAGTACCCAGGCAGCCAGAAACATTTCTCGGGGCAGGTATCATGTCACGGGTGTTGGAGAACTACCCTTCCTGAAGGCAGTCAAACCCAGTTTCATTTACATGTTAAGGCCCTTTGCACAACAAAAGGAGTTTTAGGTATTTTTAATGTTCACAGGATGTATATACTTTCTAAAAAGAATGAGTGATGGTTGACTTTTCTCCCACTAGCCTCCCCCATTTTGAACTTGTCAACCATGGTTCTGTCGGTCACAGAACTAAGAAGTCACCTCCGTAGACACACGGTAACGGTGACGACTGTAACACTGACTAAGATGTGCAACGCGGGCCCCCTGGGCCCGGCTCTCAGCGTGTGTCTGTGGGGCTATAATATTATTCCCTCCATTTTACAAACGAGGAAACTGGGGCACAGAGGGTTTCACGGTTCATTAGTACAGAGACTGGAACTTGGCTTCAGAGTTCTAACAACAGAGAATAGCGTAAAGTCACTAAAAACAAGAAGGAAAAAGGACATGAGACAACAGAAGACAGAGTGAAGAGGAAATAGTAGAAGATTTTATGAAAAAAGTTATTCCAATTGAACACAAATAAAGAAATTGAACTTCCTGAGAACTAAGGCCAAATGGGCTAAAATCAGTGTATCCTGACCATGCTTTGATTCAGTAATTTCAATAACTTAACTTTTTAAAGCACACACTAGACAGCACTTAAACAAGTTTCCTAAAATCAAATGTCAGAACCAATTTCAGTTGAATTTGAGTCATAAACTTTAAATCAAGAATCAAAGTGACATTTTAGGAAATTCAAATTTTTCTTATGAAAGATTTCTTTTAGGAAATCCAAGTATTTTTTTCCTGTAAAACCTATTCCGTTTTTTCCTTTTCTTTTTTCTTTTACCAAAACCGACTTTGGACAGTCAAACCAAACATTCGCTAAATCCATGCACCCGAAGAGATGAGCGACAATTTCCAGTATTGTGCGCAGGATTCCAGAACATACTACACAAGTTAATAAGCAGCTTTATTTGAAGTGTTATTACTAGAAAAACATGCACCTTCAGCTGTGTTCATACCAACAGCATACAGGGCAGGTTTGTTCAAATGTCTGTATTTAAAAAACGTTTCCTGCCAAAGCTATTTGGGAACGTAAACCGGGGAAAATTCTGTAGCTCTAACTCAAAACTTATTTGTTTTGGCAAACCTAAGCTAAGCACATGTCTCCATTTTCCTTAGCGTCTTGGAAATGTATACAAGTGAGGCAGAAAAGCAACAAAAACCAAAAACTTCAAATGTTATTTTGGCTGTGAACTCACGTTTCTATGGGAGATGGCAAAAAATAATAATAAAACCTTCTACATGAATTAACAATACACACCCTCTTCAACATTTATCATCTGTAGACTTTTTAATGATGGCCATTCTAATTGGTGTCAGGGGATACCTCACTGAAGTTTTGATTTGCATTTTCTCTGATAATTAGCAATACTGAGCATTTTCTCATGTGCCTACTGGCTATTTGTATGTCTTCGTTGGAGAACTGCTTGTTTAGGTCTTCTGCCTGACTATACTTCGATTAAAAAAAATACACAAATCTTCTACTGAGCAAACAGGATCTTACCTGATAAGATCGTCTCGATCTTGGAAGATTCGGGTTTTCCGATTGATGGTGTACCTGGGAAACTCCACTCGGCCGAGACTGACCAGCAGCACCGTGGACAGCTCTCCCTGACCCCCACAGGCGGCGTCCTCGTCCTCCACTGCGTCAGTGGGTGAGAAAAGCAGCAGGACCCGGGAGAACACCGCCCGGGGGCCCTTGCAGACTCTCAGGGCCCGTCCCACCAGGTCTTTAGCTCTGAAAAACACACCATGTGGAAATAACTGTCTGGTTTCTAAGCATTTGGAGAGCAGCTTTTACAAAACATTTAAAGCTACATGGCATTCATTATAAGCCTGAAGGAAATCTACCACTCTGGCTGTGTGATGTTGAAGCATTTCTTGACCTCTCTGGGCTCAGAGCCCGACCAGGAACCCAGTGAGGAGTAAATGGAATTACATCTGCAAATGATCTCACACATTGTTGCCTCAATGAAAGAGCAGGACAAGGTTTAACCTGGTCCTGAATATATGAAATACCAGGGAAACACATAAAAGTGTTACCTATTTGACACTAGCAACGCTCAATTCTTGACTCGAGTGACAGCTTAGATTAAATCATGTGTGTTTATTTAAAATGTCATTACAAAAGGCTCTCAGTAAGGCAGCACGTTAAATCCAGGGCCCTCTGGCTCTACACCTTGGCCACCACATAGAGCAGGGTCTCCAGGCAGAGGCACCATAATTCTATCCTGGGGGCAGGGATGGTGGGGGAGGTGCAGACCTCTCATGCACTGGATGCTCAGCTGCAGCCTGGCCTCCACTCACTAGATGTCATAGCACCCACTCCCCATCTTGGTCATGACAATAAAAATGCCTCCATGTGATGTCGGAGGTCCCCTGGAGGACAAAACCACATCAGCTGAGAATGACTGATGCAGTGGAAGAGCTCACACTTTCCTAACCTCCCAGGAGCTACTCAACCAAAAGCAGTGCTGCACCCCTGGGGATACAGAGATTCGTGCCACCATCAGAGCCGTGAGGGCACGGGATGACAGTCCCCTCACACCCCCTTGCTCCCCCTCCATGCAGAGCCCCAAGGGTGTCCCAGCGGACCAGGACTCCAGGCTGCAGAAGGTTGCCCTGAACACGATAAAATGAATGGCTGCTACCTCCAAGAATTAAGAAAGTAAATAATGGGCCTCTTTCTGCTTCCTCGTGATCACAGCAGAGTAAGATAATCAGGTATCGCCCTCCTTTGGAGCCGTCAGAGACACTGAGACTCCACTACTGGTCCCCACGACCACATGAAGAAATAAAGCAAAATTTTAAAGGACATCCACAGACAAATGGATAAAGAAGATGTGGTATATACAGACAATGGAAAAGTACACAGCCATGAAGAATAAACTCTTCCATGTGCAACAACAGGGATGGATCTAGAGATGATTACACTTATTGAAGTTAAGTCAGAGAGAGTCAAATACTACATGTTACCACTTATTTGTGGAATCTAAAAACCAAAGCAAATGAATGTATGTAACAAAGCAGAAATGAGTCGCAGATAAAGAAAACAAACTAGTGGTTACCAGTAGGGAGAGGGAAGGGGGGAAGGGCCAGTCAGGGGTACGGGATTAAGAGCTACAAACTACTCTGTATAAATAGATAAGCAACGGGGATATACTGTACAGCACAGGGAAATACAGCCATTATTTTATAATAACTTTAAATGGAATATAATCTATAAAAGTACTGAACAATTGTGCTGTACACCTGAAACAAATATAAAATTGTAAATCAACTACACTTCAATAAAAAAAAATGTAAGGACAGTGATTTTAGTACAAATAAATTATCCTTGGAGATCTCATTTTCCTCCAACTCCAAAGTCAGTGGTAAAAATGTTCATCTTTATTCTTTTATCTCTGCTTATAGGCTAAGTGCTTATACTGAGATAGGGTTGCTAATCTAATGTGCCCTTACTTAAAATGTGACTTATACGATGACCATAAAGTACTTAAGAAATACAATTAGATAAAGAAAGGACTTAGAAGACACTTGATATGCCATGGGGATGAGGGTTTTATAATCCTAAATCAATTAATTATAATTATATAATTTATTTAATTTTTTTAATGTACAGTATATACTTTCTGAGGTGTTGGCAGTGACGTTTTTCTTAGTGATGTATGCCTTATTTATCCTTGTGTAATCAAAGGCCAGTATTTGAAGTGTCTTCCCCACAAGGATGGGCTCTTGGCACAGAACAGCTCAATGTTTTACACACACATGTATTACACAAAATAAACAGTGACATTGTTTTAAATTGTTTTCAAAAGCATCATCTCATTTCATCCTCAACAACTCCAGAAAGTAGGTTCCTAGACTAACGTTGATATGGCTATATTTTACACATAACATGAGCAGAAGAAATAAATTCTAACAATTTTTACAATCTTCCCCAATCTGCAACAGCTGAAGAGTTTTAGAAGGGCAAAGGAAACTACCCTCAGTTTCTGATAAATTTTTATGTTTTAAACTTAAGAGAAGCTACATATTAATATTGACGGATTATGTTTCAATAAAAAGTTTACTAAAATAAAAATGTGACTGAATAGTTTATGCTTGAATACTGTAAGAACAGCAGTTGAAACTGCGTTTTTCTTGAATAATAAAATACCAGATGCGCCAATGGCCTAGTGCCTCTATTCTCCTGCCTCCTGACTTTTCTTGCTCCCAGAAATCAGGATGGTATTACAAGAACCAGGAATCATAAACCAAGAAAGAATTCAGTCTTTATAATTAAGGTTCTCTGCCTTCTCAATCTAACTGCGAGTGAAAACGATTACAATATGAAAACATGTACCATCATTATAGTAGGTTCATATGTGCGTCAACATTTTAAACGTTTCTACTGTAACCAGAGCCACAAAACCTTTTTAAGATCACAGCACCGACGCCAGGCTGGTTCCTGCCCCAAGTGCAGACCGAACGCTGTTTGGCCAGTTTGAGAAAGGCGTCCACCAGCTGCTGCTTCTGCCCGCTGTGATTCGCCAGGTGGAAGGTCTTTGCCAGGGTTTTTAGTTCAGGGGCAGAAAGTAGCTCGAGCACTTCAGAGAGTTCTTGCAACTCAGATTCTGAAATACATATTTAAAAAAAAAGTTAAAAGTAGTTTTAAAGAATCTGACTAATTCTCACTTTATTTACTTTAAGAAAAAGCTTAGTTACATGCAAATAAAATGCAATGCTACTGTGATTTTTCTTTGCCAAGTCAACTGTTAAAAAATATGGCGCATAGATATCTCATAAAAGTTAAAAACAACAGAACTTCTCACTGACAAGTAAACGAAGATCTGAATAAAATAAAGATCCTCGTGGAGAACCGTCATGGTTTGGGCGTCCTCCTTAAAAGCTCACTACGAACCCCCAGCGGGACCTCTCCAAAGCTGTCAGAGAGCTGGCTGCTCACCGGCTCCCACCTCTCCGCACAGGCCTCAGCTGGGGCCTGTCTGTGGGTCCACTCAGTCCACATCCCCATGGATGTCAGGCTACTGGGGGGTCCAGGCCACTTAGGGCAGGGCCAGCCTCCTTGTTCACATGTACCTCCTGGGTGTCCGCCACCTGCTGGGTACCACTGCGGCGCCTGCAGTGAACAACCACATCCCTGCCCCCAGGCAGTGCACTGCCCAGCATCACAGGCGCCTGTCTGCTCGCGATAACTGCCACAGAGAAAAGCAAAGCTGGGGAGGCAAACTGGACCGGACGTGGCAGAGAGGTGGCGGCACCCAACCCAGAGCAGACACAGGTGACACGGAGCAGAGCTGGATGAAATGAGGGGTGAGTTGAGGGGCAGCAGGCAAGAAGGTCTGAAAGAGGGGGCACTCAGCAAGAACCCTCAGGAGAGCAGCGTGGCCACAGCAGAGGGAGAGGGACTGTCAAGCCCCCATCCCTCCCCTCACAGGGCTGTGCAGACCATGAGAGGGACCCGGGCGGGACTGAGGGCAACAGAGGGCGTCTGGTTTTGTTGTTTAAAGGTCATTTAAAGGGAAGGCAAGGCTCACCTGGTGTCAATCTGTATCTGATCTTCTGAGTCAGGTGGGGATGTGAGTTCCCAAGTGACCTGGCGGCACTGACGTGAGGAATCCTGGGTCCCACTGCCTGAACACTCACACCCACCAAGCCCCCAGGCCTCCCCATGACTGTCCTCATCTCCCAAGCCAGGCCCGCCAGTCACCCTAACTTCATCACAACTCTGCTGCACAGAAACCGGCTGGCTCTAGCTTGAGTCACTTATTTCAGCCTAAGCTGTCAGCAACTCGAACCTAGGACTCTCATCTTTCATCCTCTTTATCCCTACGTGTCCAGGACAATATTGTTCTCAATGCAGGTGGGTACGTAACAAATGGTACCGATGAGATGACCAAGGTTATCGCATAGTCACAGGGGCTGAAATCAATCACACAATTCTTGAGGCAATCCACCTTTGAATTATAAGAGCTGTATGTGTGTGCCTGTCAGGGTCCACAAAGATACTAGCTTCCAACAACCAGCTTTGTTCTGTCATAAAGACGAGGGGTCTGGGTGAGACGGTCAACGTCTTGCTGGAAGGGGAGCTGGGAGGGATGTTCCTTCCGTGGACCCAGCCACACATCTATCCCCAGGTGACCTTACAGGCCTACATCAGAGACTGTTCAGAAACCAGCAGGAGACAGAGGGTGGAGGGATAAACTGGGGGTTTGGGATTTGGAGATACAAACTACTATATATAAAAGAGATAAACAACAAGATCCACTATATAGCACAGGGAACTATATTTAACATCTTCTAATAATCTATAATGAAAAAGAATATGAAAAGGAATATATATATATATATAAAACTGAATCACTATGCTGTACACCAGAAATTAACACAACATTGTAAATTAACTATATGTCAATTCAAAAAAAGAAAGAAAAAACAGCAGCAATCTTTCGTTATCCTGGGAGTCTTAATCCAGGTGAAGAATGGCTTCAACATAACAGGAATCATCTGTTGTCTTAAGAAGATTTAAAAACCTCAATTTAAAAAAACACACACAATTACTATCAGGCACCAATTGGGAGCTGACACCAGACTAATATCACCCTCATCATGCAGAAACTCAATTCTTTGAGTCATATTTTCATTTTCCATTCCCTTTGACTGATCGCACCTGTCTGCAGGAAGCCAGCTTGCTGCAGTTCTTGAACCACAGGTGTTAAGTCGGGGGCAATCTCTTCATATTCCAATTTATTCATCTTAATCCAGCTGAATTTACGTTGAAACAGTCTTACATATAACTTCTGACCATTGGCTGCAATAAAGTTGAAAAAAACTGTGAAAAATATTCTATTTCTTCTCAAAAACAACATACAGTATCATTTGCTTTTTTCAGCTGAGGTGAGTAAAATAGACTTGAATAGAAATACACATACACTGACTCAAATGATCTTCCAAGAAAATCATTTTCTTCCTTTGGAAGACATAATTTATTTCAAATACAAAATCTCCTGAGGATGTCTCCTTGTCCTGTGTGCCTGTCACCACAGGACAGGAGGAGGACCAGGATGGAAAGCCAGCCCTGCCCCTCTCTCCCAATTGTGCAAGCCTTTGGAACTTACTGAGACACCCTTTTCTCTTCTGTTACAAAAAAAAAGGGGGTGTGGGGGACAGTAACACCATCTTCCCAAAGATGGTAAAAAAAAAAAATTGGACAAGATAAGGTATTCAACGATTAATGTACAAAACATAAAAAAGTTCCAAAATTGGAATGATTATTGGCCATTTAAAAACTTCTAAAAAGGGAATCCTCCTACACTGTTGGTGGGAATGTAAATTGGTGCAGCCTCATTGGAGGACAGAATGGAGGTTCCTTAAAAAACTGGAGTTACCATATGATCCAGCAATCCCACTCCTGGGCTTATATCCGAAGAGATTCTCATTTGAAAAGATACTTGCACCCCAATGTTCACAAGAGCACTATTTACAAAAGCCAAGACATGGAAGCAACCTAAATGTCCACTGACAGATGACTAGATAAAAAAGATGTGGTATATTTATACAATGGAATACTACTCAGCCATAAAAAGAATGAAATAATGCCATTTGCAGCAACATGGACCTAGAGATTATCATACTAAGTGAAGTTAAGTCAGAGAAAGATAAATATCATATATCACTTATATGTGGAATCTAAAAAAAATGATACAAATGAACTTACTTACAAAACAGAAACAGGCTCACAGACATAGAAAACAAACTTATGGTTACCAAAGGGGAAAGGGAAGAAGGGTAAATTAGGAGTTTGGGATTTGCAGATACACACTACTATATATAAAATAGATAAACAGCAAGGTCCTACCTACTGTTTAGCACAGGGAGCTACATTCAATATCGTGTAAAAACCTATAATGCAAAAATGTATGTATGTGTAAAAAATCACTATGCTGTACACCTGAAATTTACATGACATTGTAATTCAACTATACTTCAATTTAAAAGAAAATAAATAAAATAAAAGGTAGAGTCCAGGCAATTAAAATATTGTTGGAAGAAAAAACAGGCCCCAATGTACCTTGGTTTGTTTTTTCCTGTATTTTATCTTATTTTCATTGTTGAGGAAATGGCGTGCAAAAACAAGAAAACCACCTAACGATAAGCTTGATTATACGCTCCAAATGCAAAGTATGCTTTTCTAAGTCACACTGCTGCTTTTTTCCTCATCCGGGAAAAGCTGTTTTATAAGCATTCAAAAAAAAAAAAGACAAATAGCTGCTTCCATGACAACCCAAGTACAGCCTGTAAGGGTGATACTGTGGGAGCAGACACCAGGCACAAAGTCTTGTCTATTTTACACACGTATCCTTCTCCAGCTGAACCCTGTAGTAGGCGCTGAGTCCCACGCATACTCCCAGGGGACTCCCCAAACCACACTGACTCCTCGTGGTCCTTGGATGACAGCCCGTCACCTCCCAGACCAAATCAGGGCAGCAAGCAGGAAACCAAACCTTCCAAGCAAACATGCTCCAGATACCTGATAATTGGTAAAACCGAGTTACAATTCCTTTCTCCTGCTCATCAAAGAGCATTCTGTCATCTTCATTCTCAAACACGGCATTCAGCACCACCAGGAAACTCCTAAGGTAGTAAGGGTGATTCGGTGGTGCTAGGCTTGTTACACCAGGGACATCCCAGACTGACCCCTGCTCCGAAGACATTCTAGGAGTGATTTCATTCTCTAAGCCACGGGCATGTTCCAGAGGACATTCTTGGCTGTGACTCCATTTCGAAGCATTGGTTGTAGGACTATGAGATTTTGCCTCCCAGTGTGACAGCTGTGTTTCAGCTTCTGAAAGGGCAGTCGCTTTGACCTCTTCACAACTGCCTGCCTCATGTATTTCATCACCTTCACCAGCTACTCCTGCGAGACTCTCCTGCTTTGCAAGACTGTCTTCTGAAATAGACTGTAATTTACTTCCAAGAGTTAAATCCGGTGACAATAACCCGGGGGTGGTATCTGAAAAGGGAGGGGTGAGTGTGGATATCCCACATTCCCGGGCAGCCTCTTGGCTTTCAGCATCCATTATTTCAGTGTCTTCTACAGTACATTCGGGAGTCCTTGATTCCTTAAGAGAATCACTGGTAAACATGTTTTCCTTTTGAGAACTATTCTCCAGAAGTTGATCCTGGTCCTCCATCTCTGAACGGTTGTCAACCAGGCTCTTAACCGCTGTGGCTGAGGAACTCTGTGGACTCTGATTGGCAAATCGCTCATTCTCATCTAAAGACCTTTTAGCCTTCATGTATCTTCTGGACAATTTAGATGACAGGCTTCCCAGAGGGACGATTTTGACATTACGATCTCTCGTCTCATCTTGAGTTTTGCTCACCAAGTCTCTGTTACTTTTAAAGTAGGGGCTGGTCTGCTGTTTTGTGCCTGTTTTTGCTGAGTCGCTTCGGCCAGGGGTTAAATTTATCTTAGATGGTGACAACTTCTCTGGCGTTACATCTTCTAAGGCAATATTGGTTAAATCTACCGTGGAAGCCTTTGAACTGAAGCCAGTGTTTCCTGGCTCACCTGCAGTGATGTCATCATCGTCAGCACACATTTCATCCAGGTGCCGGTTCAAGTCATATCTTGGTACCATTTTACTACAAACCGGACAGGCGAGTTTCGCAGGCGGTACATTGTTAAAAAACGAAATAATCGAGTTAGAGTCATTTTTTTTAGTTTTGCTGGTTGATAAACTTATACGAGGTCTTTTTTTGGAGGATTTCCCTCCGGACATCATGAGTATTAGACAAGCTGGGTGTTTCGAAGGGTAAAGCACAGGATATCACTGGGGAAAGAGAGCGATGCTTGGCTTTTACTTCCGTGTCTTGAAATTAAAAAAGGCGGGACTCTATTGGACCTCATGTTATTCATTTAGTCGATCTCGTCTTCCTACAAAACACACGTGGATTAACAATATTTTTATGCACTCAACAACAGGGGGAAAAGGTCTAAAGCATGCAATGCCAGGATCTCTTGGGACAGAGGACCAAGGCCCTACCCCCTGCTCTGCATGCAACCTCAGTGCGTCCCTCAGCCACAACAGCGTTGGGCCTCGTGGGGACAAGTTTTAAGGCCACTCTCTTCAAAGTCAGCCGTTTTATTTTTTTTTTCCAATTGTTTGACTCTGCAAAAATCAGAAGGCACCAACGGACAGCCAACCCATACCTATGGTGCCCTGAGTGAAGACAAGTCAGCTTAGATATATGATGGACAAAAGTCTCACTGCCTAAGACTCCAAGCAGTGAGAGGATAAAGTCAGCCGTTTTAAAAAGGGAACACTGGACTATTTCAGGTCCTTATTGAAAACCACTGCATCAGTCAGCCTTTTCCCTCACAGGCCTGCACAGAGATGCGCCCTGAGTCGCGGGCATCGGTCCACGGGCTTGGAGCCCGCCGCAGCCCCGGCCTCCGAACCTGACGCTCCGGCTGAGCTCAGCCGGCTCTGCCAGCGGGGCCGC